AATATACATGATTTCAATTAAGTTTAATGCTCAACTTTACTAACTTTATACAAGATATAACAGAATTTTTGCAACATCAAATAATATAATATAAATTTATTTTTTATTTTAAATTAAATAAAACATGTGAATTTCCAAAAAAATTCATCAAATTAATTCATAGTTTTATAGGTTTTTAGGTGACAAATGAAAAAATATGAATTGGTTTCATATTCTATAAAAATATTTTTGATAAAATTGAAGAAGTACAAAAGACTTTTTCAAATTAACATTTACACTAAAATACTTTCTCCAAATGAAATATATTGAACTTAAAGATTTCAACTTAAAATCTGTCTCTTATTAATTAAAGATTGAGTATGTCAGTTGAGAGTATCATATCATCAATGCATGTACTTGTTAGTATTATTTGCCATGTTATTTATCCACTAGAATTGAAATGGATGGTGAGAATGTGGTTTTATCTCATTGTATTTAATGATAAATATATATAAAAATGAAAAAATCACTGTTGATATCTTTCATCTTTAAAATTTATGTTCTTATCTTCGAGTGAATTTCTCTCTAAAATATTTTGTTACACATACAAAATCTTCACATGTATGAAATAATTGCAAAACTTTAAAGTTTTAATGTATTATTTTATAATTTATAAATTTTCACAGTAAAATTTTTTCTCAAAAATCACTAAATACTAAATTATTTCAGATGGTGATGAATGTTTGATTTCCTTTAATTTTATATCTCTTCAGATATATAGATATAGATATATAGATATATATATATATATTATTTTACATTTTCCAAGTTATGGATGCATGAGTTGTATTATCATTTATATTGTCCGAGGGTTATTACTAATTTGTGTGATACTTTGAAACAAGTGTTACTAAGTTTCATCATACCAAATCATGTATGGAAATTAGGTTTCAAATCACAAATAAATCATAAAGAAACAAGTAAGACATTCCTATGTCCACTTAGAGTTGGACAACGCTAATTTTGTCAAGACAGCGCGACGGTTGCATATTGTGCATCTACATCTCATGAGCAGGGCTCTGTACATTAGACATTCTAGAAGTAGATGCCTATTGTTCCTAGTTTCAAATGTCTTGAGTACCTAATCTCAAAATTATTTCTCGAATAATTTCAGAATGAAAATTTTTCAAATGGTTGTAACAATAGAACAGTCGAGCGGACTAGACAACGGAACTACTAGTTTCGTTGGCGGATTGGGTTCACCGTTTCCAAATGTAGCGCTTCCCGAATTTAAATTATAAAATTGAATTGAATTAAAATAAAATTGAATTAAAATAGATACAATATCTATTTTGGATTTTCGATTAGGCATCATGACTAATTCCATGAATGATTTGTGACTAATATGGTTAGATTAGGAACAAATAGCCCTATGCCTAATGTACAAAGTCCTGCTCATGAGTCTTCACCACTCAATGGAATTTCACTCCACTGTAGGTTGCCAGTCTTTAACTTTAACTAGCAAAGCACTGGCTCAAAGTTTCTTGTAACGGTAATAGGTAGGTATAGCTCTGAATCTGCAATCATTGTAATTCTTGATAAGTGTCTTATCATTGAGATTCATGGAGAACCAAACCACCGACAGCGTTTTGCATCTGTATACTGAGTAGCTGAGAGCTATCACATTTATCGCACGCAAGTTAATAGACTACAACCAAAATCTCAAGATATGAACAATTTTTTTTTGGATTAACCGTATATTTTTTTATTGAAAATTTCTTGAGTGTAGCAAGATTGCCATTTTAGTGCAACAGTGTAGAGGGAAACACGAACTGGGGATGTGTTGTCTCTTAATGAAACGTGAACGTGTATTTAGAACTGTAATGTTTAACTTTTGACCAGGTGTTAACTCAGGTAGTATAATAGACGAGTAAAATCAGAAAGCCGATGGAAATACACGGATTAATTAGGCAATTACATAGAATTAGAAGCTCATCATCACAGCCGGAGGAAAGTTACTAAATGCTACAAGGAATCTAATATATATCATGGCTCTCCACGGAGAGTCAAGCTAGCTTCAGTGGAAGAAGAAAAAGGGTGCCGAATTAATATTCCAACTAACTAACGTCAAGTGAATAAAGAGAAGTAACACGAGGCTTTTTAAATCTACTCAATAACTTCCACAATCAAGCTACATGACCGCAAAGTTCACTAGACCGCCACTACGGGTGAGATCCATCACATAAGAAATAAGGGAGTAAAGTCATGAAACACAGAGGGTCCACTAACTTCTGGACAACCTTACTTAATCAGGAAATTCCGGATATAAAGGAAAATCAACTGATTAAACGGAAAACGCATTAAGCGTAGCTAAATATGATGAGAGGCCGTGGTCCGGCTTTCAGGACAGGCGTTCCGACGACACAAGAGTCTAACGTTTGCCACGCTGGACAGCACGGGGAGAATGAGCGGCCAAGGAAGGGAGCAAGGTGTAGGGCAATGTCTGCTCCAAGGAATTCCGTTATGGCTCTTAATTTGAGCTACGTACGTATCATCATCGGCGTCTCCTCTTCTTTAATTATCATTAGTTACTTGATACTCTTCGATAATCGCAATTTATGTGGCTATCGTCTTTGTGAGCATCGAGTTTAAAACCAGGCCGTACTGCACTCCGGCCCATCTGTTTGCATTTTCTCTTTAATAATCATTTCTTGTTGATTGGTGGCAACTCCTTACGTGAATTTGAGCCGTGCATGGGTGACACGTGCTTACACGGAGGAGAGGACGTACGCTCGTATGCTTCTGAGATCCAGAGGCAGTGACAGTGAAGTGTGTAAAAGTAACGAGAATTATGCCTTCCCATGCAAGGCAGGGGAGGGAATTTTGTGCGTTCGAGTCGCGTTCGGTGAGACGTGAATGAGGTTAACTGATTAACGAGAAATATGCCATGCAACAACCTCATTTTCCATGAATGAGCGGGGCGGGGCGGGCTACGACGTTCTGGTTCCGTGTGTACGAGTGCGTCAATCTCAAAAATATGCTCTGACTCAAAAATTCTCGACGACCAACTTCGTCGCAACACCGCCAGGGCACTCCAGTCGTTGCACGTCCGTGCTCTTCCTCTAGTCGACCAATCCAGACGTGAGCTGGAAGCAGATGCCAGCAGCTTGGCGCCTTCTTTCTCTCTTTCTCCACGAAGTTCGTCAAAGCGCTAGATGTTCAAAACTTTCAGGTCCCCTACGACATCGTGGTAATGAGCCTGGCCTCTGGTTGCTGGCTAAATTTCATCCTCGTACGGGGCTTTATGGAGAATTTTCTGTTTTTTATCCACATGGGCCACTTTTTCCTTCTTGGCAAGTGCATTCCTTGAGAACTTTATATCATTGACCGGATACAAAGTGTTTTTGTCAAGTTGCTAATTGCATAGGCTTTTTGTATTTTTAACGAACAACATATGGCAACCAACACATGCCAAACTCTGCGAACACGAAAGACTTTTTCTGGGTGATAATAACGGTCTCCATAGATGGAGAACTCTTATACACCTTGCACACTATGGATCGAGGAGTAGCACTCTATTCTCTAACATCTCCACTTTCTAGAGTTAGTGTCGTTGATTCAAAGCCGAAAGTAGACTCACTTCTGATCAACTTTTTTTAACCTGAAATCTGGATTAGTTACTGCATAGATCACAGTTTGAAACTAGGAGGAACGGAAGTATCTATGTAGGGAATCATAAACAGATAATCAACTTCCAAAAAGGAACTCCTCCATTTTTGAATGGTGGATTTTCCATGTTTCTTTCAACTTTTCGAATCCCTTACAGATATGCACATTTGTCAAGGATATTCTAAAGATAGAAGACCCTAAAAATGTAGGTATATGGCTATCAGAAGCCAACATTTTACTTCAAATCTGTATCCAGACCATGACTCAACAGCTACCTATGCCCACCCATAGCATTACCTGTTCCCCACCCATGCTATTTACATTAACCTAATTGTGTTATGTGTATTATTCTTGGTTGGATCTGACAAACACTGCCCATAATATTACTTGTGCCCACCCATGGAAAACTAATGTCACCGAAAACTCATGGGCCCGGGCACCCATTGTTGGGCTCTGATGGCTATGGTACTTGACACAACTGAAATTTTCAAGGCGATTTCAATATGTCTTGTTATGTGACGTCTTCACCATCTAACTTCCTTACAGCCATGAGTATACACACTGAGTTCATCCAAATTATTATTATAATTCATGAGTCCCATGTGAGTAGGGTATGGGTATGAGTATGTGGATCGGTCATCAGATCAGACGAGTTTTGTATGATTGTTGGTCATTACGAGTAAATAAGATGTCTTTTATGGTTTGAAAATGTGACTACTTAAATTTGGACTTCAAGTTGGTATGTCTTGCAATCAACGTGGATACATCCTTCTCAATTGGCACCAAACTTTTGTTTTGCATAATGTGGATGTAAAAAATACACCTTGCACGATTCTGAAAGTGACTAATGGATCCATGGTAAGCAATGATTCCAACATAAAAGGATATTCATATAATGAAAAAATATATAAAGTGTAGCCTTGAAGTCATTGACATCTATCATACTTTGGGCAGATGATACTTATTTTCACCAATATTTATCTAATTTATTTTAGAAATTATGTATTGAATTTCTAATGAAAAGAATTGGATTTATTTTTTGGGGGATTATTGATATAATTGAAATTTTTTCATTTTTCAGAATATATGGTATGATTAATCTGAATATTTAGATGCACTAGTAACTATTTTACTGTAAAGACGTGGACGTGGACGTGAGGCACATTCAGGCTTCACGGGGTCCTCCTTGCTTTCTGCCATATTACTCACTCCTCCTTTACTCGACAACAGTTTACTGTATGCCTGTGCAAACAGTAAAGTGAGTAAACCACGTGGCAAAGGTTAAAGGCTCAAAACTGCCCTCGAAGGAGCCGTCACGTCATCCAGCATACAGTCCACATCATCACGGGTCTCTAGCTCATCATTCGGCCCGCATGGCACCGATGGCATCCTCTCCACGGAGTCCGGATCAGCAGCGGCCAGGCGGTCGAAACTCGATGCCCCAAACGGTCGCGCGAAGCTTCTTCGAGGGAATGGATCGTTCGGAGCCGGGTCCAGATCGAGATTCGGACTCCCCCCAGAGCGGCCCGAGCGTCGTCGCCGAGATGCGACCTGCGGAGGCCATTGGCGTCGAATGCTCGGAAGGTCCTGCGGATGCGAAGTCGATGAGGACCTTCACATACGAAGTGCAGCACGACACGGAACTCTTCGTGTACTTCAATCTCCTGGAGGACGGTCGATTTTCGAGCTGCAACTTTCGGGCTCCGGTCAAAGCCATGAAGCGTCACGGCCTTCCTACGTTCGAGCGCCAGCAATTTACGATCACTGCCGAACAGAAAAAACGATTTCGGTTCTTCGAAGAATTTTAGTGTCGCGAGGTCGAATGTCATTAAACTAGATGTAATAATGATAGACGCAGCTTCAATGCCACCCCCGAACTCGCAGAGGTTTTGTTTTTTTGCCGTGATTCTTTCAATTAGTGTGTCCATCGTAGCACTGCTCGCTCAGTTGGAGTTTCTAAGCTTGCAATCTCCGGCTACCAGGGATTCGCATCATTGACCAGTCGGGATCTCGGAAAGCCTCCATATGAAATGAAAGATCTGCGTGTGATATTTGTTTTGCCCTTTTCGCCCATCTTAGTCTCGTTCCTGGAAGACGGACTTTCACTTGACATGAGACCAGGTCTTCACCCGTTTTCCAAGGCGGTACTCATCTCTCCAGATCTACATTTCAGTCGGATCGAATCAACCTCCATGCGTGTTGTTGCAGTGAATTATGCAGTCAAATTGCAAACCTCGAGTCGAGCTGAACGGAATTTTCTACTCCATGACCAATGAGAGTAACAGATCAGCATGTGCCACCAGATGTCCTCACAAAAGGGACGTGCCTTGTTCCAGAACTGCTTCTCATATGCGACAGAAAGTGGCGTTTTGTCCCAGAGATGCACCAGAGATATCTCAAAACAGAATTCATGAAAACGAAGAACGTCAATTGGGCACCTAAACATTTTAGCCGTCGGTATTAGGTGCTAGAGTCTAACCTCGAAGGTCGAATGGAAAGACGAAGGAATCAACAAGAAAATCTAGAAGATATCCAGCTGAATTTCCATTGTTGTAGTTTAGCAATGTCTGCAGATAGCTGTCAGTCTGCTTGTCTGACTGACAAGCAGACAAAGCCCTTTCCAACCATCAAGACAGAATGTTGACCCTTCTCGCCGCGTTCATAGTCTGTTGGGTACAGTGCTGAAGTAGTCACATACTCTCAAGCACATTGTGCTCGAAGGAACAGGCCATCTTCTAGGATAATCTCTGCTTCGGAAAGTCCCCATCCCACCGACCATACCACAAAAGGTTTATTTCACAAAAATACTGTGATGGAAACTAAGGTATGTAATGAAGATGAATCCTAGCCTACTTATGAAAAGACTGTCGATCCTAAACTGAAAATTACGGATATCTTGTTTGCTCTTTTCTTGTGATTTGTAATACTTGAAGCATGGAATATAGTTGTTCGCAAAATGCGCTCTCCAATATACATTCCTTTCTGAGAAAGTAGCGAGAGGATGTACGAAGACACAGAGAAACATGGAATGAAGATGAAATACCTTGAAACAGGTACAGATGTGGCAAACAGACTTCAATTTTAGAAATCCAGTGATTCTTGTTTGAGTGTGATAGAGAATTCTGATAGGGAATGATTCCATCCGCAATTGAGGTCGAAAGTTGAAGGAAACGAGGAGTCGCAATTTTAATAAAGATTGTACCCATCCCGAATAAGCTCCCCGAGCTCATGGTCTGGATGTCATCTCGAATGGTAAGCAATAAATGTTACAACATGGACTTGCTTGGAAACGTTGTGTGTTTGTGGGTTCTGATCTCCAGTTAAGAGCTTCCTCTGTAATTCGCCATGGGATTTTGAATGATAAACCAAACATTCCTTTAAAGTTGTAGAATATATACACGCTTCAACATCTATCATGTTTTAAATTAAATCTCAAATAATATAGAAAAATAAACAACCCAAATGCAGTTAGTAGAATATGCAAAGAATACGTAGTAGAATGTGCTACATATTCCTTTCATCCGAAATTCATAGAATTTTTCATCTGCAAAATGTTCACTTAAATTTTCAGAAAATAATTCTTGATTAATAAAAATTTTGAGTTTCAGTGTTTTCAAAGTTATCATTTTTAGGTTAACTTATTTTACATATTAACTCACAGCAGAACTATATGCAAAGTATCTAACGTAAAAAATTAGGGCCATAACTATATTGTTTGATATCCACCCTTACCCTGAGACATAGCATGTTGGATCATAAAATGATCATGGTGAAAGAGGGTTCAAATCATTCATATTGATTTCATTTTATTATTACGTTTGAGAAGGAATACTTGAACTTTGCGGCTTAAAAATGCGCATTCATAGTTGTACATATTCATCCATACTCAAACTTGGTCCCAATCAACTTTTCATCGGTCACTGATTCAAACAAGTCGTAGGTCACATTGCTCTAAATCTCAAAGCTAGATTTAATTCCATCGTGATTCTCCCATAAAAACCTAAATGGTTCTTGGAATTTTATAATACAGAACCTTGATTTCACAAGTAAAATAACATGGAGAATTCCAATTAATCAATTTTATTTCTTATTAATTAAAAATTTTATTTTAATTGGTGTACTGAGCGTGAATTGAGAGAACTCAAGGTGTAAATTTACTCAAGTAAATATATTTGTTAGTCTTCAGACCACGTTCATCAGCCGCCCTAGCTCAGTTGGTAGAGCGCAAGGCTCTTAACCTTGTGGTCGGGGGTTCGAGCCCCCCGGGCGGCGGGTCGTAGTTAGCATCGGTGGTCTAGGGGTAGATTAGTTCCCTGCCACGGAACAGACCCGGGTTCGATTCCCGGCCGATGCAGCTTTTGCCTCCCTCCCCTCATCTTTTACCCACGTTATAAACATTACAGTTTCTACATGATTGAATAATTTTTGGGCAGGTTAACAAAGAAAGTGGTGAGTTCCGTCGTCTTGCGCACAAAGTTAAGAACTGTTGTTTAAAATTGTGCAATTTGATTAGAATCATGTGGAACTCACCCCAACATATTGCCATTCATACGCAGAAAGAGGAGCCGCATAAAGATTTGCACATACGTCTCATGAACCTTAAGAAACTTAGGCACAAATTATAATTTGCCTTTCTGTATGGAAACAACATTCGCGGACGCGTGTAGTAAATGAGTGTGAGGTAGGCTTGGCCGATCATCGGTTAATCGATTAAGATAAAAAAGGCTAACCTCAGGTACATTCAAGTTTTTTGGAGATACAGTGATGCAGGCCAAGTTCTAACATTTTTGAGTACCTTGCTTTAGGAATAAGCGAATCTAGCTATTCAATTTATCATCATCAAATAATTTAGATACTTATACGAACAAACCCATCACTTTCCAAAAACGCCCATACAGATGTCACAAAAGAACAATGAATCATGAACCTGTCACTGGCCATCCTAGATAAAGTCTGGTAGCCATTGCAGTGCTATTTCCACCTCAGAAGTATGTGGGACATGTGACGATCGCTTTCGCAGTGAACATAAAGAAATTATCGACCTCCTTTTCAAGTCACTGTTTCAGTCTCCAACAAATACATTGGAAGTGACAACTACTCCAAACACAAGCCGAAATACATCATCAAAATGAATAGAATAAGATCTTTGAGTTCCATCATTTCAAAATAAACATTTATAAAATATACATACTGGGATGAGGATCAGTAAACCGGTCCAAGTGAAAATTGAGTTCCGACCCTGACAAAGCTTAATGTGAGGCGCATGGTAATCCACCCATATTTTGTAATTGTAATTTGTATTTTCTAAAGTTTGAGTCAAAATTTGGAAAGTACATGGGAGTGAAACGTCATAAGAACACTAGACACTCTGCTCAGGAATACTATTGATTGCTTTGTCAAGATTCAACCCGTACCTTCTCGACTAGGTACATACCTTTCCTCTCCCTTGGACTGTTCTCTCATTGAGTTCTTCAGTCGACCATCTCACCATTTGGCTGCTTATGATTGTATCTTAAAATCAAACAGATACCAGACAAAACAATCTTTTTTTATTACACCAAAGGAGTTATCACTTTGCAACAGCGTGTAAATCACCTCGTTTCAATAACGCAGATACCAGATAATATATGCTTGGTTCAAACCTTGTCGCAAGTAAAGGTTACAAAGACAATAACCAATGCAGTCCGCAGGGCTCTCGACTTTGACAGACAGCGGTAAAAGAGTCCGAACTTGATTCGAAATTGTATCATGTACCTCGACTTGACAAGTATTAACCGTTTTAATTGTGGCTTCCGGAGGTCACAACCATAGGCTTTCTTTCTACCATAAAACTTTACGTTACAGTGATAAACCAAGATGATGTCTTGAGTAATGGCTTTGATGACAGTGGAAGACAACCCCGGAGGTCCAAATCAATGCAAAGACACGCTCCTTTTGATGTTTAGAGATTAATTGCACGAAGGAGGCTTCGACAGTTGAAAATCATGCAGTTATATTGATTGGGATTCGCTGGATCAAGGACTGATTTGATATGAAATTGCAGTGACATTCAAGAACTGTACAATTATGTGGCACAAGGAAAATACCTCAACTTTGCTCTGCGAACGGGTTGTTAAACAACATAATAAGCAACTACTAAAAATATTAGTGACATGGTCTACTATGGCCTTCACATTGTGTAAAAGTACATAATGTTCTCCAGTGGGCACGACAGCTCGCATCGCACCTCCGACCCATGCAATTACGAACACAAAAGCATGACCTTCAGCTCAAACACAATCCTCTTCTGATTCCTGCAGGCATGAACCAGGGGAGAGAGCTTGTGCTTGAGAACGTTCATGTGCTTGAGCTTGTACGTGTACGTGCTCTAAGTGATATGTGAATCAAAGAAAACATTTTTGTAAGTCTACAGACATCAGAGTTTGACCAGCTTATTGTTATTTTCCAACCGTATCTCTTACGACAAAGCACGATATCCATCCAGTAGACCCCGGTGCTGACGCTGAGTGCACTCTGAATGCGTGTGGCATAGACATCCACCCAATCATGTGTGATATGCCCACCGGTACAAGTGCTTGAACAAAGAAATCAGCTCCAACTCCTAACACTATCAGGTTACAGTGTTTTTTTTTCCTTTCATAATTTCAGGTTTAATTTACAGAATATATCCTAGGAGGGCGAGCTTGACCGTTTAATCTCTCTTGTTTCCATCCTCACCTCCAAACTGAGTGGAATTACCATTCCAGTAAGAGTTCCCTCCACGGAATACTTCATCATCATCATCATTCCTCAAAGTATGAACATTACCATTTGCTCCCCAACCCTTCCTCTGATTCAATGAACTCCTCTGAGGCCCTGCTCCATTCATTGGATTGGTATATTCATCTGTGCCATCACCTCTTGATTCTCTTTGATCAGCTTCCCTGGCCCCATCTGGAACAGAATCTGCGCCGGGTATACAATTTTATTAACATATGAGTTCAACAAGACCAGAGAAAGACTGTGACCGTGAAAAGCCTCACCTCCTCACTAGGTACAGAACAGAAAAGAAGGTACAAGACCAGTGAACGAACTGAGAAAGCTTCATTTCTATCGCTTCAAGCTAAGGAGTTTGAACAAGAACCGATGACATGATTCAAAGACTTACCGTATTCCCAATCTGAACCAGAAGTTTCTTGATTAGTTGCAGATCCTCCCCACCGAATGTACGAGAAGGGATTGAGGTAGGAGAGAACTCTTGCGATTATGGAAACACCACCTTCCGGAGGAGTTGGAACATCATCTGAAGATCCAGAGCCAGTGGCACAAGACCACGTGCTTCCTTCGGAAGTCATCCGGTTTGGAACTATCATCACTGTGGATCGAGGTCCAAGCTCTAGCTGTGTGAGAGATTTATCCAAGTCTGCACACCCATGATACAATGCAGAACCAGATGATTTAGAATGATCATCCCGACTACAAGATATTGTGGCCATTCAGGTAACGCAACCAACAAGACTAAAAAAAAAATTGAGTGGTTTGAGCCCAAAGGCAACAATTCCCAGGAACATCATCGAAACATCTGCCTGTTGTACCCTGCATGAAAACAAAGACGTAGCTTACCATCGTTGCTCAATGATTTTCGAGGAAATGGAATCACGAACGAGTAACTCTTGCTTCCATCCGTACGATTTCTATCAACAAAAATTTTGACGTCTCTCAGTGTGTTAGTAGCTTCAAATTCGCCTCGTATATTTTCGCTATTGGTCAGTCTTATTTGCAGAAGAAATGGACCGGTCTTATCCTTCGACGTCTTAACTGCAGTAGTTTCTGCCGCCTTAAGATCAGCCACCTTTTTAGCCTTGGCTTTATGAGCAGCTTTGATTGCTTCCAAAGCTTGATTATCTACATCTGTCTCTCCCACACTACGTGTACTTGGAGTCGCATTTTCAATTTCTGGGACGTTCGTTGCAGCACCACTTGACATCTCTGCTTGAGCAGGTTCCACGCTCAAGGAGCTCCTTTCAACTGATGGCGAACTGATCTGCCTACTCGACACGCTTGTAGAGTCCTCAACTGGCTCGATGGGAGATTCATGTGAGGATGTCCTGGTGTTAATCTCATTTGCAGCATTTGCAGTGTTCGTAGCAGTTTGTGCAAGATGTGCTGAGGAAAGAATTGTGGCAATCGCACCCGCAGCTGCTACATTCTGCAACTGCTAAGCCAGATAAATTGTTAGAAAAAGTTAGATCGGTAATACCCATCTGAATGCAGTTTAAAAGTTTTGACGGTTAAGGCAATATTTGTTTCATTCCTCATGTCTTAACACAGTGAACTGTAAAATTATGAAATATCCACTTTCTCTACCAAAACAATGGCATCAATCCTATGTGCATGAGGGAAAGAAGTTGATGTAAAATGCTGGCACTAGCTCCTTTCGTTCGAACCCAATCTAATTACTTACAAAGATTTTTTTCATGATACTGACTAAAAATGCTTTTCCAAAAAAGTTAAAGAATTGAGAATTAAGGTTGGGGTGTAAGCAACAATAACCTGTTGAAGTCCAGCTACAAACTCTTCAGGTGCTATGTAACCCTCTGCATATCAAGACCATCGTCATCTCCATCGGATACACAAAGATAATGATCTCTCAGCATCCACGTAAGAATGAATGTATGGGATTAAACGTCCACTAATATTGAAGGGTCATGGATACCGACAATTTTATAAGTGGAACTAGAAAATTTAACAAACTTACTTATCTCAAGTTCATGTATGTTGAAAGTTGCTATGCAGAGAAAAGATACAACACCGTCCAGCATGCGAGCGGCGAGGAGCTTACCATGTTGTTGAATCAAAGCACCCGTAAATCCAATTATCGATATAGTTGGCACACGGCGAGTAGGAACTGTAAGTATTCGTCAAGGATATTTCCCTGGGACTATCGTCTTACCCATTTCTAAACACGATGCTTGACTAATTCAAAACTCCTTTTTGAAAACATTCCAGCTACAAATCTTTCTTTACAAGAGAATGACCGTAACAGAGGACCAAATGGTAGAACTGACCAACAACATCAACATAATTAGTAAACAAATTTCTAAGTTAAAAAAGTCCAACACAAAACCAATTCCATCCTCTGCGTTGCAGATTCTAGAACCTCAACGAAACAAAAACTCTTCACATTTATGAGCTCTTGACGTGACATATAAATTTGTGATTAAGGATACAAATTGCAGAAAAGTTCAAGGCATCAGTACTGCCCCCTGCAATCTTCAAAGGAACACATCCTCGCTGTATTTCCTCCGTGACCTGAAGCAAAATATATCCAAGGAGAGAAGATACTGAGACCTCTCAAAAGGATTTAAAAATCATCACTGCAGACATCGAAAAAGTAGTATTTCAAATTCATCGCAGAACATGTTCATAGTGAGAATGTGCTCGTGAATGAGGACGACAGGGCAGTCAAGAAAAAAAGAAGTGAACGAATAGAAGGACAGGAGTATTTAACAGTGAAATGATTCCGTCATATAAAGAGATTTTAACTGGCGTAGAGCTTCGAGGTGTCTGCGAGGAGTCCTTCATCTCATCACCCACAACGTTTGTTTCAAGTTCGAGGATACACAAATACTAGCTGAAATTATATTGTGGTACATACCTTTGCATCCTGCCAAGTGACTTGTTCCAGCTGCTGTGATTCCTCATCTTCGCCTGAAGATCGCCAGGACCAAAGTAAACCTCATTAGCAGGAGCAATTACGACAGAAAATTTAAGATTTATAACATCCTCTAAAGTCCAATCATGCAGTCAATAGATATCAAACGCAAGGTAAATTCTACTCAAATTAAACTACAGTAGGTTGGACATGGAGATTCACCGCACCTGAAATGAAGACAACAAGAATCCTCCTCTTGCTCTGAGCCTCAGCTATGGCTTGAGGAATAGAGCCCTGAAAGAATATGCTAGAAGCCATAGCTTCGATAGCAACAGGTTCTTTTGACACTGCAGCGACCATGAAAAATGTTGCCCTATGAGTATCGAGTGTAAACCTAGTATAGTGTTATACAAGTATTAAAAGTCTCCGAGTTGAAGCATTATGGACCGAATCGTATTCGTACGTAAATAAACGAAACGTCCCTGCATGACTTGAAAGCGTGTTCGGTGACGACAAATTTCGTTCCCCTCAGCCATCAGAAAGTTAAGACATGACGAAATTTGAGAGAATTTTCCCAATTGTTCACTTTGCGAGCTACCAAACCCGTATCACAATTGCCTCACAAATCAGCGACAGTGTACAAACAAATGTAATAAACTTGAACATGAACTTAGGTTGTTCATGACTTGAAAAATCGACGTATTCTTTTCGGCAAAGACAATCTCTCATGTGAAAAAAATTACTACCATTTCCCGCTCTTAATAATCATCAGACGCGCATTGGGTCGTGTAAATCCACAACCTGACAAAGTCCCATACAATCTCCCACGATTTTCCGAACTTGTGCTGATCTAGTAATGTCCCTTGAACAGGTGCATATCTCCAACGATACTTCTTGACATAAGTTCTCATCAACAAGAATTACCGTCGAGCTACCGACCGATGTCGATCATATATGCGATCCAAACATCCCGGCAGAAAAATAGAATAGTCATTCAATTCACCCTCTGGAAATCTCGGTAAACGGAAGGCCCTAAATTTTAAATGCAATCCAAACCTTCAAACCCGAGGGTCACGAACACACTGAAACAATTAAAGAAACCATCGCACAGCCGACCAGCCTGCCAGAATCCGATCAACAACGCATCACTCTTCTGCCGCAGTTTACCTCAAATCAACACCTCCTCTTCCCCTGGTTCTTCCCGGCCCTTTCCCTTTCCTTTTCCCGGCTGTGTGAAATGGGAGATGGCAAGCACGGGAGCATTGATTGACCCTGAGAACGGTACGAGTTTCTTCTTAGCAAAAGCGCATACGACGACGTCGTCTACTACTGAGGGAAGGCGAGGTCACTATTTGGCGACGAGATGGGAAGAAATCCGAACAATAAGCAGCCAAAACTCATGTCCCTCCTCCTCCTCGTCGCCTTCTTCCCTCGCCTGAAAGTCCCTGCCAGCCTTCCCTTCCCTTCCCTTCTCTTCCTTTTCCTTCAATTCCCTGCAGGCGGCCAAGAAAGGGACGAGACCCGAGGCCGAGACCAAGTGCACTCCAGTTGGCAGCGAAACATAGATGCTCTCGTCTGCCTTCCTCTTTGCACGCCAGTTGCCACGTCGGAAATGACCGTCTTACTTTTTAAACATAAAAAAATGGTTACATCCTTTGAAAGCAAGTCACTTACGGATTTTATTAAAGTACAGATCCAAAACTTGTTACCATTAATTCCTTTCTAAAATATGTGTTTAGGTTGTCACATAATTAATTTTTAGGATCATTTGCGATATGAAATTTCATCTAGTGCTTCCAACTAAGTGATTTCAATGAGAGAACATTTTTCAACTCACACATCAAAATATAGAAAATCACATTTACACATAGAAGAGTATTGATACCTTTCAAGTTAAAGAGGTTTGAAAATCTGCATGATACATTGAATGTAGTAACCATCCATTATTATGATGTGCAATAGTGATACAAAAGGCCTCATTTTCATACTTTTAATTTGAATCTGATCAAATTTTTACAGGATTTAAATTGAAAGAAGGATCTTTTCAAGAATTACTTCCATAAAACATATCTAGCAGATTTATCAAACAAATAAATTGGTTAAAATTTATTTTATGCAAATAATCCTATATAACAATAGAAGCCCTACTTAGAATATTTATAATCAAGATAAGTTGAAAATTAAAATGAAAATTGTTATCAAATCGCTTTATATATTTCCATAAAAATCACGCCAATTTTTTGTTGCATGATTTGGCCAATGATTTTTCCATCTTCTAAGGAAGAAGATTGTTTATTGATATGTTAAAATTTGAGCATCTTCAAGTAAGAATTAAGTAATCAAGGATGAGCAAATTAATCAATCCATCCACAACACTCTGGCTGATAATTCTATATTTTTTCATGGAGCAATCTTATTTTTAATCTGTTAAACACACAAAACTGTACTTAAGATGTATAAAGATAAGGATAACTAGCCGATAAAATATCAGTTTATAAAATTAACTGGATAATATACAATAAGTACTGTAGATGACAATATGCGGGGAAAAGAACTTGGGACTTATATGGAATGAGATTTTTACAATAGATTGAATCAAACTATGTAAGGATTCCAGAGAAAACTTGAAAAGCAAAAGATAGTGAGTAGTGGCACTGATATCCTGGCGTTTTACTATCATAAGATTAGAGGGTTGCTTAACTATTACTCCTTTGCAGGTAATAGAGGAAATCTGCAAAAAGTGATATGGTTCCAATTAACTAATGGGGTCCAAACCTAGCTTTGAAACAGAGGTGGAGTCTAACTTCGTGAGTGTAACAGATTTGGTGTGTAATGAGTTGGTTGGGCCTTCCGGAGATTTGTTGGAAACTCCTGAAAAGCTTGCACAGTCATTATAGCTCTGCTTACAGACTTGGTAGTGATAAAAAACATTTAGTCGCATAGTGATGAGTGAATGTAAAACCAAAATAAATAATTCGACAATGCATTCAACAGTCCGAATGATGGAGTTGAAACAAAGTAGTAGGAGAATATGAGTGGTCATATATATCTTCTCATACAAATTTGTAGATCGACATTTTAAACATATTATTCTACTCATGTATCTAAGAAATTCTTTTCACTACTCACAAAATTGTTTTTGACGAATAAGCGACATGCATCCACTTTTGAAATTCTTTGGTTTTCATCCACTTTTGAAATCCACATGGTTTTCTTTCGCTGTCTACTATTAAAATCTTCTTAAAGATGTCTATACGCATTAAGATGACCTTCAGCTGGTATACAAAGCTCTTCGATCCATCTTCGTAAATAGTAGTATGAACGATGAATCGTATGAATTTCGTGAACGTTATTCTAGCGAATACAACACCGTACTTATGCATCTACTAACGGTCGCAACCCTGTAATGCAGAGGAAGAAACTGAGATTCCAAAAAGATGATAGTTTCAGACATTTCGAAATCCAAATGAAACTTCCTTCCTCCTCAGAAGTCATCCCGACTCTCCCTTACGAAATGAATCCATCACGCCGCTGAATGACCTCAACTCGACACAAAGACCTTCTCTGTGTCGGGAATGACATATAACTTGCCCGACCGATCACCCAACAGAATTCCGAGGACTAGAAGGTTCAAAGCACGACCTACCAATGAAATGCAATCCAATCGATTAAAAATATTTTCGGCTAAACAAGGCGATCGTCGGACCCGGAAACGTATATTAATATCAGAGATATATTTAGTCCCCGTCTACTCCTGCAGTTAAGACCGTCACATGCTAATGACAACACATCACCATCTACACCTTTGCTCAGTATGCTCTCATCGTTTGAGCGATGCCTTAGAAACCCTCACTTGCACTTGCACCCTGATCCTAAGGTGCCGCCGCCTTTCAATCTCTTTCCCTCGTAGTCAGTCGTAAGAAGACGGATCGGTGGCTCACGTCACAGGAAAACACGTTCGCTCGTTGCCAATCAGCCGCAGAAAAGTGTAGTCAGTTTCCGTTCCACGATGACTGGGGCGGACCAGAATGACGTAGTCTCGGTGACTGAGAACAACGATCGTCATCGACATGCGTCAAAGCACCATTAACATTATCTCCTGATTCTTTCCTGCCTCTGGTGAGCGAAGGTGGCTGAAATCGAAAGGAACTTTCCTCAACGGAGAAGAACGCCACTCAGCTGGATGGATGTGTTTCTTCATCCAGGATTGCAGGCACGATAGAGGTTGAAGAGAAAATTAAGACTGTGGAATCTCGCGTCAAGCGACCCGATATTCTTCCAAGATCTTTGGATAAGGCCTATGTCCCCCTTGCTCTGGTCGAGCTTCCGTTGCCGCCCTGAAGATTAAAAGTCACAAAATCTCTCGCTTTCGAAATGAAATTTGCGTGCAAAGAATCATAAGATTTGAATCAAAATGATCGATGAGCACTTTGTCTTGTCGACGGCCATTCTATCCAACGCTTTCACTCCCAATTCACCACAGCTGACCGCACCAAATTGCCATGTCAAACCTGTCTTTTGCTAGACCCACTCAGATCAGGGTAAGTTCGGCTATAGGAAGTTGATTTCCACTGACAGAGCTCGTCGCCACACCAAGGGCTTGGTGTGGCGAGGCATCTGTGCGAGGCAGCAAGACCATAAATAGGAGAAGCTTACACCCTCTACAAACATGTGCCGGCATCCTCCTGATGTTGTTTTTTGTATGGGTGTAATGAAGACTCGTAGTATAATGTACGCCAAACCAATCTTCCATCAACCCCGCCTGACGAAAACTTGGAAGCAGTCCGGTTTTAAATATGTTGTCCATGACGCTGTGTTTTGTGCCATGATAGAGTATATAAAGACCCCTTGTTTTAAGCGTACATATGGCGCTGAACGAAGGGTTGCTCGCTAACTGTAGAACTGCATCTGCAATCACAGCATCCGAATGAATACTTTGGCCTTTTCATGTGCATCGCACATCGAATTACCGTAAATCTCTACAGGACTACGCAGACCTACATTCACTGGACCTACGATGCAGAATACACGATAGCAGACAAGGAGCTTCATGCAATGGGATGGAGTTTCTCGTCGCCGTCTCTCCCTCACCTAAAAGCAAGTGGGCTCCGGTGTCGTTCTCGAGAGAAGAAACAAAATTGTCAAAAGGCACATGCCCTCGGCCTAAGTATGGGTTCCGGCGTATAATGCACGACGGCATGTCGACGTCTAAAAGTTTGCTTAGCGACTTCTCCTCGGTGATCCGGAGTATGGCCATCTCCAGAATCTGCTCGGAAACGGGACGAGGGGTCACGTCCAGTTGGAAGCAAATGCTATCAGAGATGAGCTTTTCACGTTCGATACACAAACGAAAAAGGAAGAAAATCAGATGAACGGGTTCTAGTTAATCCTCACGCGACTCGCAGACTTGCTCTAGGTGTAGAAAAATGTACGTCACCTTCCTACGTGTAGAAGGATTCTCGCTGAAAGCTTCCGCAAGTTTGAGGCTTTCGGGACTCCACGAAATTTCAATCACTATGTCTTCTTCTTCTTTCGAATTCAAACTTCGTTGCTTCATATTCTTGAGGTCAAACACTGGACGACCAGATAACTCAGTGGAACTCACGGATGCCTCACCTCGCAGGACTGCAGCGAGAATCAGATCCGCTGTCTTGCGATCATAAAGCCGGAGAGCACCCTCCTTTCGCCCATGGTATACACCAATGGACCTAGTCAGCGCTTTCCTCATTGCTACAAACACGTGATCCAAGATGATGCTCACTGCAGTCTAATCGACTGGGAAATCTTCTGGTCTTGCACTTGGATGTAGAAACCCTCCACACTGAATTTATGTAGTCAACTTCGCGGAAGGCTCCATACCTCGATTGATTCACGCACGTTAAGGAGAACAAGGTTCTCCTTAACGCGAGCAAATATCGGCGGCCCTCTGCGATGTCAGAGTCCGACTGCTGGTACAACTATGTCTCCTTGAGATGTCGAGGCAGAAGCATGCTCGTATTCACATTACACGGTTTTGGTAGATAAACTCTCTGTTAATAAAAAGCACATGGCGATTGCAAAGTACAGGGACGAAATGGTTAGGAATGTCCACGAAGTATTTCACTGAGAAAACGACAGTAGCCTATAATGACTATAATGACTATATAGGTTAGATACTCTAGTCTATTGAATGGTCTACTGACCCTTCAAAACTTCACCTTTTGACATGATTGATATATGACTGATACTTCGATCATACTTCCGGATCCCTCATACTGTATGAGGGATCCGGAAGTCAGTGTTCCTTGTCAACCATATCTACCAAGTTTACTTGTACTAAAGTTTCTCCTACGGATTATCGTGTCACCTCCGGATGGTGAACAGAATCAATCATTGCAGAACATGGCAATTGATGGAACCCCATATTGTTGAGGATAAAGATTCCACATATCCCGATCAGAAGTGTCAAAATATTGAGGATGCGCTAGCACGAACATATATGCCTTGCGAAGCAAAGCCTATTAAAGCCACTCGATCATCATATGAATGAACTATTACCGGTCATGGTTATATTAGTCCGTCCTCTAACTTACGTTAATTTAGGCGTTAAAATCTGTTTTTGAGTGCACTTGAAACCCAATGAAGGGTTCGGAGAGAGAGTAACAAATGATTGAAATCCATTTGTGAGGTTCGTGGGCCAGTGAAAAACTAATCCACAAACTCCAGATTATGACGTCGGTGACCTATGAGATTGAAGTGATTACGAACCGATTAACAATAGTCACACATTAGTGACTGAAATCTACCATGTGTCAATCCTGAACCAATTACCGTTTAGATACTGCGGTTAATTCAGAAACTAGAGATAACATCTATTTAGATAATTTAGAAGACTCGGTATACGATCTGCTAAAATAACTACGACCGACTATAACTGGCTGTGCTATACCCATTCTAGACACCAGCCCATGGCATGAATCACTATCTTGATTTATAAGAGTGATGATACATATAATAGATGATATATGGTATATGCATGTAATAGATGATAAGATTAATGACAAGAAGCATGGTTCAAGGATATAGGAAAGTATTAAATGTTGACCAGCGCAGGATGTATGTGATATTCACGCCGTTTCATTACTTTTTTATATCCGTACGCAGCGTGGGATTAACACATCCGATAACTTCCTTGGAAAAAAAAGTGTCAAATTTAGACAAGAATGATAAGAAGTTCATAATTGTTATTATATATAATTTTAATTTTAGAAAATGTCCTCAAGTTTGTTATTTGCATGTTATGGTGAAATTATGTTGACCGTAGTGAAGCGCACATGCAATGTCATATGAATTATAGTGAAGTAGATTTTACTTTTTTATCAAAAAATCATTTTTGTCTTTGTATCTTCTTAGTATATTATTTGCATAAATATAAATAAAATTGAAATTGATTCAATACACGAATCAAGGATAAAAAAATAATCGTATGGAAAAGTAAGAGCTTTTTATTATTTATTTGAAGATTCTAAAAAAGGAATTTATATAGAAGAATGAGTTGCATGAATTTCAGAGTTTTATAAATTATATATGAAATAGTTCAGATATTATAAATTGAATCTGAAAACCATCAATCTATTCAGCATCACAATGATCTTTCTTCCACTGAAAAATATTATTGTATTGAAGAAAGAAATCAAATCATTTCAATATAATACATATTTTGAAGTAAAGTTTTTATGTTACAATCGATTATACATTGAATGATGAATTTGTCATTTATATTATCATGTTTCGCTTCCTCTGTCTAAGTTACATCATTTCCCATTAATGTCTGTGCAGTTTGAGATAACCTTGAGTTGGAATTTATAGACCAGTTGACCACCCTCATAAACATCTATTTGAACGGACACAAGTACTACGTCATTTGCATTGTCCTAGCAAATACGACTATGTACTTAGCAGATCCGTGCATGTGTTGCGTTACTGTAATGCAGTAGAGTACACCGACTTTCCAGAAACATGATAATTTCAGACCTCTCGACGTCCAAATGGAACTGCCTTATCGCAAGTGATCCCGATTTTCTCTTAGCAAAGGAAATTATCACACAGCTAATCGATCCTTCAAACCGTGACCGTCGAACCCTCAAACCTATTATCAGAGTGGAGGATGTAAATATGATCCACGTCTACACCTGCAGTTAAGCCCGTCGCATGCTAATCACAATACATCACCATCTGGATCTATGCTCGGTTTGCTCTCGTCTGTTGAAAGATGCCCTAAAAACCCTCACTTCCATGTGCATCATCTAAGGTGCTGCTGCCTTTCAATCTCTATCCTCGTCAGTCAGTCGTGAGAAGACGGATCGGTGGCTCACGACACGTTTGCTCATTGAGAATCAGCCGCATTAAAGTGTATTTAGTTTCCTATCATCGATTACTGTGTGGAACCAGAATAATATAACCTCGGTGACTGAGAACGACCATCTTCATCGCCATTGACATGCGTCAAAGCACCATTAACATTAACTCCTGATTCTTTCCTTTATATGCTGAGGAAAGGTACCTGAAATATGAAAGGAACTTCCTTGAACGAAGAGAAACGCCACTCCGATGGATGGATTTGCTTCTTCATCCAGGATTGCAGGCACGATATAGGTTGAAGAGAAACTTAAGACTGTGGAAACCTGCTTCAAGTGATCCGACATTCTTCCAAGATCTTCGGATGCGTAGTATGTCCCCCTTGCTCTGGTCGAGCTTCCGTTGCCCTCCTGAAGGTTAAATGCCACAAAATTCTCGACTTCGACGTGAAATTCGCGTGCAAGGACTCCAACAATTAAAATCGGAACAAGCGATGAGCAGTTTGGAATGTTGAAGGCCGTTCTATCAAACGCTTTCACTTTCAATTCACCACAGCTGACCGCACCAAATTGCCCTGTCAAACCTGTCTTTTGCTAGACCCACTCAGAGCAGGGTAAGTTCGGCGAGGGGAAGTTGGTTCGCACTGACAGAACTCGTCGCCACACCTCCTCTACCACAGTAGGTAGTAGGCAGCAAGACCATAAATAGGAGAAGCTTACACCCTCTACAATCATGTGCCGAAATCATCAAGATGTTGTTTTTTGAATGGGTGTAATCAAGACTCGTAGTATAATGTACGCCAAACCAATCTTGCATCCTCCCCGCCTGACGAAAACTTGGAAGCAGTCCAGTTTCTAATATGTTGTCCATGACGCTGTGTTTTGTGCCATGATAGAGAATATAAAGACCCCTTATTTTAAGCCTACGTATGGCGCTGAACGAAGGGTTGCTCGCTAGCTGTAAAACTGCATCTGCAATCACAGCATCCGAATGAATACTTTGGCCTTTTCATGCGCATCGCACATCGAATTACCGTAAATCTCTACAGGACTACGCAGACCTACATTCACTGGACCTACAATGCAGAATACACGATAGCAGACAAGGAGCATCATGCAATGGGATGGAGTTTCTCGTCGCCGTCTCTCCCTCACCTAAAAGCAAGTGGGCTAAGGTGTCGTTCTCGAGAGAAGAAACAAAATTGTCAAAAGGCACATGCCCTCGGCCTAAGTATGGATTCGGGCGTATTCGGATACTGCGCGACGACAACCCCATCGAGTCCAAAACTTTGCTTAGCGACTTCTCCTCGGTGATCCGGAGTATGGCCATCTCCAGAATCTGCTCGAAACGGGACGAGGGGTCACGTCCAAGTGGAAGCAAGTGCTATTAGAGATGAGCTTTTCACGTTCGAAACGCAAACGAAAAAGGAAGTAAATCAGATGAACGGGTTCTAGTTAATCCTCACGCGACGTGCAGACTTGCTCTAGGTGTAGAAAAATGTACGTCACCTTCCTACGTGTAGAAGGATTCTCGCTGAAAGCTTCCGCAAGTTTGAGGCTTTCGGGACTCCACGAAATTTCAATCACTATGTCTTCTTCTTCTTTCGAATTCAAACTTCGCTGCTTCATATTCTTGAGGTCAAACACTGGACGACCAGATAACTCAGTGGAACTCACGGATGCCTCACCTCGCAGGACTGCAGCGAGAATCAGATCCGCTGTCTTGCGATCATAAAGCCGGAGAGCACCTTCCTTTCGCCCATGGTATACACCAATGGACCTAGTCAGCGCTTTCCTCATTGCTACAAACACGTGATACAAGATGATGCTCACTGCCGTCTAATCGACTGGGAAATCTGTTGGTCTTGCACTCGAACGGGATGTAGCAACCCTCCACACTGAATTTATGTTGTAATCTTCGCGGAAGGCTCCACACCTAGATGGAGTCACTCATGAGTACAGTGACATATCTCACTGATATAGTATAGATACTCTGGTCTATTGAATGGTCCACTGACCATTCTAAACTTCACCTTTTGACATGATTGATGTATGACTGATACTTCGATTATACTTCCGGATCCCTCATTCTGTATGAGGGATATAGTATGACGGATCCGGAAGTCAGTGTTCCTTGTCAATCAATGCAAGCATATCTACCAAGTTAAATTGTACTTAGGTTTCTCCTACGGTAATCTAATCAGCTACGGATTGTCGTGTCACCTCAATGATTGACCAGAATCAATCATTGCAGAACATGGCAGTTGATGGAACCCCATATTGTTGAGGATAAAGATTCCACATAACCCGGTCAAAAGTGTACAATCATCGAGGATGCGCTAACATATATGCCCCGTGCGAAGCAAATCTGTACTAAAGCCACTCAATCATCATACGAATGAACTATAACTGGTTGTGCTGTACGTATTTCTGGACACCAGCACATTGGAAACACAAGATGATGCATATCTCTTTACAGATAGCAACATCATCACATACTGGCGCCGGGTAGACCATCGAATGAAACTTGGATACGACCCTCATCTCGCGGCCTTACACTCTCCTTTACTTCCAATCCAGTGACAGTATCAAGTATTGTACTCATCAGACTTAGACATGTATCAAATAAACAGTTATGGATATACGCTAACGTTTCGGCTTCCGTTGTATTGTCATAGGGCTTAGGGAGGCAGTGCACGTCCGGAACCGTATTTTCTGAAACTCGCACTCGATTTATAGGTCGACTTGGCCAAAGAGGAAGTGCCTCCAGCAAGAGCAGTAAAATCTCTTGTATTAAGGCTGTACATGTTAGAGAGCCTTGGATCTACGGAGAAGTTGAGCTGGAATTCGAGCGGGAGCAGACTCAAACTAATAAGTATATAGCTCTGCTGCTATTCCACTCTCCACAATTGCAGATACGTCGATAAGATTTCGATGTCGTCGCCCACATCTCTCCTGTCTGTTGCTCCAGGACGAATCCACTCGCCTTGATTCGCCTTGATTCTCATTTTATAACTCCTGAGTTGCAAACGTTTATCGTAGTTACTAGCTTGTAAACCGTCGGAGCATTTCTGTAACTTCTCTGTTTACCAGTTAAGATGATAAGGATCGGGGAATAATGGATGCTCCACTCCACCGTCATAGATATAGTGCGACAGGATTCTCGGAGTCAAAACTGAGCTTGAGCTCGCCTCAAGTCCGATTCTAGGTGTTCACTTAAATGCGAAACAGGAGTTCAAAGCCCTTTCCTCGTTCTCCGGCACCAATCAATTTAGTCGGTGGATAGTAGACGGCTGCTATGTGAAATATGCGCTAATATAGTCGTAGCAGCCTTTATTGGCAGGTACAATGGCGTATATCTACTTTGGTGCGGTTGCCCTTGGCGAAGGGCTCTTGGTCTATGAAAAGACGAGTTAATTAGAAAAAGTGGCGGCCAGTTATCCCTCACGTGCCTGGTCAGTTGGGTGATGAGTGGATCGAGGTCAGTTTAGCCGTCATCCTAAATCTGGCGTGGCTGCGTGAGAAAATAACGGGTTTCTATGTCTCCACTGCCTGCCCGCCGGAGCTTGTTTCTTGGCTAATGTGAAGTACTCGCCATGGACACTAAGGAGGGAGGGACGCGGGTGAGGGATAATCAGGGTAAACTGATTATAACTAGTCGGTCCCATTATTATTTCCAATAATCCACAGTGGAAATTTACATTGAGCTAGGAGGTTCAGAACCCGACCTGGAACTGGGAGTGGGATTCCAAGATACGTAATTTAAATACATATACGGTAAGTTTATGGTAAATACTTGAAATCTTACGGCTGACATGAATTGATCCTTTATAATCTACTTGCTCGAATTGGTGGGTTCCAATACTGTAGGCAATTGAAAGTTCGCCACTTCGTCTTTCATTATCAATTAAAAGTGAACTGCTTGACTCGCTTTCACTCACATAACAACTCTGTGCCCCTTCACTCAGTCATGGTTGCAAGATGAACAAGGTTATAAGACGACTATTACATGGAACACATTTATATTGATTATCACATAGAGCAGGACATGTATCCTCTTCTAATGCTTCTGTAATGTAAGGGCTAGTACTGACAGTCGTACTGCCTAAAGCTAGGACACCATGCCTGTAGTCAAATTGATTGAAAGTTTGGCTAAATGTATGGACATCACATCCATTTTAGAACATTCAAAAGCTCTAACAGGGAAGTGGCATACTGTACCCATTCTCCTAATCTGGAAATTAGTAATTAATAAAGATAGTCATCTAATACTGCATCCTCGTTAAGAACCACCGTTAAGCAGTTCAAGAATATTAGATCAACATGGCATGGATCACTATCTTGATTTATAAGAGTGATGAGACCAAGGTACATGCATGTATTAGATGGTAAGATTAATGAAAAGAAGCATGGTTCGAGGATGTAGGATAGTAAACATTTGTGACCAGCTGACCGCACCAAATTGCCCCGTCAAACCTGTCTTTTGCCAGACCCACTCAGAGCAGCGTAAGTTCTGCGAGAGGAAGTTGATTGCCACTGCAAGAGCTCGTCGCCACACTACTAGAGGAAATGCAAGGCCGCAAGACCATGAATAGGAGAAGCTTACACCCACTATGCCCGCCTGTCGGCATCTGATTCCTAGAACGGGTGTAATCAAGACTCGTAGTATAATGTACGCCAAACCAATCTTGCATCCTCCCCCCCTGACGAAAACTTGGAAGCAGTCCAGTTTTTAATATGTTATCCATAACATTGTGGTTTGTGCCATGAAAGAGAAAATAAAGACACTGTGTTTGAAGCAAACTTACGGCGCTGTCCGTAGGGTCGCTCGCTAGCTGTAGAACTGCATCTGCAATCACAGCATCCGAATGAATATCCTGGACTTCTCATGTGCATCGCACATCGAACTGCCATAATTCTCCACATGACTACGCAGACCTACTCTCACTGAATCTACGATGCACATAACAGACAAGGAGCTTTGTGCAACACAACGGAGTTTCTCGTCGCCATCTCTCCCTCACCGTAAACCTCCTTTGCTAAGATGTCGTTCTCGAGAGAAGAAACAAAATTGTTAAAAGGCACATGCCCTCGGCCTAGGTATGAATTTGGGCGTATGCTGCGCGACGGCACCCCCTTCAAGTCCAAAACTTTGGTTAGCGTTTTCTCCTCGGTGATCCGGAGTATGGCCATCTCCAGAATCTGCTCGGAAACATGACAAGGGATCACGTACAGTTGGAAGCAACTGCTATCAGAGATAAAATTTCACGTTCGATACACACAGAAAATGAAGTAAGTTAGATGAACGGCTTCTACTAAATCTTCATGCGACGCGCACGATTGCTCCAAGAGTCGAACAATTCACATCACCTTCCTACGAGTAGAAGGTTTCCCGCTGAAAGCTTCCGCAGCTTTGAGGCTTTCCGGACTCCACGAAATTTCAATCACTATGTCTTCTTCTTCGTTCGAACACCAATTTCGTTGCTTCATAGTCTGGAGGTCGAACACTGGGCGACCGAGTAACTTAGTGGAGCTCACGGACGCCTCACCTCGCGCGGCTGCATCGAGAATCAGATCCGTGGTCTTGCGATCATAAAGCTCGAGAGCACCGTCCTTCCGCCTATGGTATACAGAAACGGACCTAGTCAGCTCACTCGTCATTGCTACAAAATCGTGCTCCCAGATTACGTCCTCTCCCGTCAAATCGATCCGGAAATCTGCTGATTTTGCGCTTGAACGCGCAGTCACAATCCTCCTGTTGTTCAACAGATCTTGAGTGATTTCACTCAAGATCTGTTGTCAGGCTTCGTGGAAAGTTTAGGGACCCGATCGATACGCATTGGAGAGCAAAGGTCAGTTGTCGCTTTAAACAAGCTTCATTTAAAGGACTGAGTCGCAAAAGCGCGCACTCATTTCCGATCCCAGGGCACGTGATTGTCATGTTCTTAACATTAGATTTGTATACTGCTATAGAACTTCCTTGCTTAGAAATGACTTCGGTAGAAAGTACACTCCACTTGGAATGTGCCTCATAAATCTGACCGTTCACTGACTGTCCTGAAGCAGTAAATATAGCATTGTCTGCTCGAGGTGCCACAACGACGATATGGACTACATTTTCATATCATCATTGCACGGAGAGCTAACACGTCGGGGAACACATAAGCAGTTCCGCTAACTGCAGTTATTCGCTTGCAGCTCTTCCAATTAGAGAGCAAACAGCTTGATGTGGAGATGGCAGTCGCCCAAGTCGATGCTGTGTGTTTCAGGCTGAGTATTTTCTAATTCATGTCTTTATTCAAGATATTCAGGTTAATCACTAACTACTCTCATTAATCATAACTATATTCACGAATTCAACAATCGTAATTAGAAAACGGACACGAGAAGTCTCCGAATAACAAGGTTATCCGTAATTGCAGTCCAAATGCACAATCAGTATAATTGGATACCTTTTACATAAATCGTGACAAGGTTCGAGGGGCCTTAAACGCTTGTGAAATGTGATGATAAAATATTCTTTTTGTAACTAGAATTTTATGAACTGCTTCTGTTGTATTTCTCTAGTGCATTTTTATCTCGTACTTGAAAGAGTGATGTATTAAATTTGAATCAATTATAAACATATTCTTTAAAAATGCCCAACCTGAATTTTAAGAATATTTTAGGAGAAAGCACAAGACATTGATAAGAATATGAATTGTGATACTTACTGGTCAATGTTTTCTAGATCGAATAGTTTGTCATCTTGTCAGATTTATTTTTAAGATTTAGAATTGTTTATTCTTACCAGGAGATCTGTTCAAGTTTCTTAACATTATGCCGAAGGGTTGTATTATGACGTGGAAGTAGACTTTGTTTGTCTCAATCTGTCCCTGTCTCTAAAGCAGTTGAGATTTACCCACAATCTCCTGCACTCTGTTCAAGAAGCATCTGAACACTGAAATCAAATATGTTCGAATTACTTGATAGATCTTCCTGGCCTACAGGATGCTTATTACTAATAAATCTGTCCGGAGCAGATTTATCTGAGTTTTTAAAATTTGAGTAACGGATTCTGATCTACGAGCACCATGCACTTAATTTGATATACACTCTTTGATGTAGCAACGGCAGTCTGTTTAGCTGATTGAAAAGTATTCCAAAGGACAAAAAAGCAGAAGTTCAGTTAGCTATCCATAAATCGTTACAACCTTAATGTAAAGAAGACTATATATCTCCTCGTTCATCAAGTTGGTCATCAAGCATATTAATTTGAATAGAGATCTAGCAAACGAAGCAGCCTGGTCGTCTCGGTATTCTCAATATCCACTTGTCAGATCATCACGTAATCGGGTCGTAATTGTTTAGTAATATATTTCAATCATCTCATGATCGTATTATGTTTTCATTATTCACATGAAAACCTGCGTTTAATTTGGATACAGCGAGTATCTGATTGTCTATTTGTACGGTAGAGATGAATTAGCCATTATACTTGGATTTCGGTATTGCAATGCGCATATTTCAGGTGGAGTTAGTGTTATACGATTTAAAGTGCATATGTAATCCATCTAAAGCTCAACAAAAAAAACAACAAGTCAAAAATTAAATTTTCTCATGCTTTCGTTTTCCATATTCAAATTTTTATCTAATGACATCCATGAGGAAACAATCACAATAAAAGATGATATAATATTTTCAGATTCGTTTCACTCATATAGATCTACATCTAAAATGCAATAGAATATATCGTTTGATGTGATTTTATTGGGTATCCTCTTGAGTTTAATCCATGTACGGTTTGATTGGGTATTCTAACATTCCTACAGTCAATTTACATTCGATGATTTTTGTGATGGTTCTTATCAAGTTTCGACATCTGAAGTCATCCGTTCTCCTTCCAACTTCTAGACATGTATATAACAAAAAATTTGAATGGGATGCCGTTAGGAGTGGAATACCTGTCCGCATTCCAGAACTCGAGTGATGGAGACAGACCGTAACGCAACTTTTGCAGGAGATGCAAAGGTTCGTTTCATCATGATTATGTATTATAAATTAATTATTTTGATTCAGTCTTCAATACAAAATATTTTTCCAATGGAAGAAAGATCATTGGGTTGATAGATAAATTGATTCTCTTGAGATTCAATTTATAATTTATGAACTAGATTTAATGTAAACTAATAAAAGAAATCTGAAAATCTTGAAATCCTTCTTGTTAAATTTTTTTTTACCGACCGAAAAACTTACTCTTCAATTTAAATTCCTTATATTGGAGCTTCAAAATAATAATAAAAAGCTCTAACCTTTACAAATTATAAAATAACTTTTGATACTTGATTCTTGTATTGAATCATTATTCAATTTTATTATTTTCATAAAAATAATGTACTACGAAGATACAAAGACAAATATGAATTTCTGAAAATTAAAATATAAAAAACTTTACTTTACATCATATTCCATTGCATTGCATGTGCGCATCACTGCGGTCAACATGACTTTCACCATAACATTGACTTTCATCCAAATAAGAAACTTTGGGATATTTTCTAAAATTACATTTATGTAAAAAAGCTTTCTATGAACTCCTTCTCATCCCTCTCTAAATCTACCGCGTCCATGTCCAAAGGGCGTTATCGGATGTCTTCATCCCACGTTGCTTACAGATATAAGAAAGGAATGAAATGACGTACACATTGAACACACAATGCGCTTGTTAAACTACTTCCATTTCTCTTTACTCGAACCATGCCATTCTTGTCATTAATCTTCATATCCATTAAATGCATATAGCTTGCTCTCATCACTCTAATGATTTAAGAAAGTGATGCATGCCATGATAATCTAATCTTCTTGAACTGAAGAGATTTGCTTGATGGACCCTGCAGAAAGTAATTTGTTTGATGGGAACCTTCAGGTTTCATTTTACCCGATGGGACCCCATGAACGATGCACTGTCACCCATGTTCTAATAACAACTAGAGAGAGTGCAACGAGTCCACTTCACCTGCAGACAGAGTGGACTTCGCACTCCATCACAATCACTTGTTTTTATGTTGTCATTCTGTATCCGGCTACTCTCCAAGGAGACGAGCAAAAAAATATTCATCCTGAGTTTATTTGTTCGCCATAAATGGGTGATCGCGAGACTTGAGCTCGGACCACGCAGGGTTACGGAAGGAGTGTGCAGGTGGGAGGTAACAGAGAAATCCTCTAATCTTTGCGACCGGAAGAATTGAAGCACAACAAATTGCACTTCGAGCAAAATCGATTTTTGTCCCCGTGATAATCCACCAGAAATTATAATCAGGGATTGATCTCTGAGTGTAATTCCCGCATTGTAACTAGTAGTAATCGTAGTTACAAGAACTATGTCCGACAGCACACTTTCGTTGGGGTCCCATCGGGTAAAACTAAACCTGAGGGGTCACATCAAGCAAATTACTTTCCGCAGGGGTCCCATCAAGCAAATCTCTCTCTTGAACTGCTTGACGGTGGTTTTTAACGAGGATGCAGCCTTACATGATTATCTAGACTACTTAGTCACATAAATGTTCCAGATTTAAGGAGTATGGGTACAAAATGCCACGTCCCTTTTAGAGCTTTCAATTGTTCTAAAATGGATATGATGTCCATACATTTAGCCAAACATTTACTCAATTTGACTATAGGCATGGTGTCCAAGAATTTGCTTTGATTTAGGCAATACGACTGTAAGTACTAGCCCGTACATTTCAGAAGGATTAGATGCATGTCACGCTCAAAGTGACCGTCAATGTATTCCATGTAAATCTGGACAATTTATTACCTTGTTTATCTTGCAACCATGACTGAGTGAAGGGGCGTTAACCACAGTTGTTATGTGAGTGAAAGCCAGTCAAGCAGTTCACTTTTGATTGATAATGAAAGACGAAGTGGCCAACTTGCAATTTATTACAGTACTCGAACACACATTGAAACCAACCATTTCTAACAAGTAGATTATCAAAGATAAATTCATGTCAACCGTAAGATTTCAAATTTTACCGTAAACTTACCGTATATGTATATGGATATATGTATCTTGGAGTTCCCACTCCCAGCTCCCGGTGAGGTTCTGAACCTCCTAGCTCGGTGTTTATTTCCACTGTGCAATGAGAGCAATTATTGCTTATAATGATCGCATTCGCCGATGAGACAGAATACGAAAGCAATGACGCATGCTGAAAATAGTTTTTCTTACAAATTCCTCTTTTCATCTCTTCCCATATGAGAAGCATAAAGCCAAGACCCCTTGGCCATGGGCAACCGCAGAAGGGTACATTTCCACCATTGTACCTACCCATAAAGGCTGCTACGACTGTATTAGCGCATATTTCATATAGCAGCCGCCTACTATCCACCGACAAAATTGATCGGTGTCGGAGAACGAGGAAAGGGATTTGAACTCCTATCTCGCATCTGAGTGAACACATAGAGTTAGACTTGAGGCGAGCTCAGTTGGGACTCCGAGAATCCTGTCGCACTACATCATGACTGTGGAGTGGAGCAGCCATTATTCCCTGACACTCATCATCTTACCTTGTTAACAGAGAACTGACAGAAATGCTCCGACCGTTTCCAAGCCAATAACTACAATTAATGTTTGCAACTCAGGAGTTATAAAATGGGACAGCGTGAATCGAGTCGAGTGGATTCGTCTTTTAAGCGAGATTGTTGAATGCGTGACTGTACTTATGGGTTATGAGAGTAGGTAGTCGTTAACCTGAAATTCTCATTAAAGACATGAATTAGAACATCCTCAGCCGGGAAGGCCCAGCATCTCATAACAAGCGCACGACCAGCAGATTTCACGACCAGCAGATTTGAGGGGAGTGGACGACACTTTGGAGCACGATTTTGTAGCAATGACGAGTGAGCTGACGAAGTCCATAGGCGGAGGGAAGGTGCTCTCGAGCTTCATGATTGCGAGACAACGGATCTGATTCTCGCTGCAGCCGCGCGAGGTGAGGCGTCCGTGAGCTCCACTAAGTTACTCGGTCGTCCAATGTTCGACCTCCAGACTATGAAGCAACGAAATTCTTGTTCGATCGAAGAAGAAGACATAGTTATTGAAATTTCGTGGAGTCCGGAAAGCCTCAAAGCCGCGGATATTTTCAGCGGGAAACCTTCTACTCGTAGGAAGGTGATGTACATTGTTGGACGCTTGGAGCAATCGTGCGCGTCGCGTGAAGATTTCATAGAAGCCTTTCATCTAACTTACTTCATTTTCTGTGTGTATCGAACGTGAAAAGCTCATCTCTGATAGCAGTTTCTTCCAACTGGACGTGACCCCTCGTCCCGTTTCCGAGCAGATTCTGGAGATGGCCATACTCCGGATCACCGAGGAGAAGTCGCTAAGCAAAGTTTCGGACTTGAAGCGGGTGCCGTCGCTTAGCATACACCCAAATCCAGACTTAGGCCGAGGCCATGGGCCTTTTGACAGTTTTATTTCTTCTCTCAAGAGTGACCGCTCAGGAAAGGAGATTTACGGTGAGGAAGAGATGACGACGAGAAACTCCATAATGTTACACAAAAGGCTCTTCAGATCATGCAGTTGCAAGTGAGGGTTTGGAAGGCATCGTTCAACAGACGAGAGCAAACGAAGCATAGATCCAGATGGTTATGTATTGTGATTAGCAAATGACGGGATTAACTTTGCAGGCGAAGACGTGGATCATATTTACATCCTCCACTCTGATGTATCTTTTATTGTTAATAGAGGTTTGAGGGTCGACGGTCACGTTCTTTAGGCGGAAATATTTGTAATCGATTGGCTGACAATACTGTGGCCAGTTGTGCCTCGAACCTTCCGGCCTTCGGAGTTCTGTTCCTTGAACGGTCGGGCAAGTTGAATGGTATTCCTGGCACAGAAGGTCTTGTCAGCTGTGTGATGGATTCCTTTGGTAAGAGAGTCGGGATCACTTGTGAGATCGGGATCAAGTTCCATTTGGACGTCGTAAGCTCTGAAAAGTATCATCTTCCTGGAAAGTCCGTGTCTTCTCCTGCATTACAGTAGCGCAAACATATTCACGGATCTGCTAAGTACGTTATCGTATTTGCTAGGACAGAGTATATGACGTAGTCCTTGTGGTTGTTCAGATGTTTGTTTACCAGGGTGGTGTGAACTAGTCTGTACATTCCAACTCAAGGTTATTTCAATGTACTGGCATTAAAGAGATGATGTACCTTAGACAGCGGAAGCGAAACATGTTAATCCGATATATTTTTACGTGATTGGTGATCAAAGTTTGTTTTACACATGCACATGAATATTCGTATATCAAGTTGCGAATTTTGCAGCATTCAGCTAAAGTCTCGCCAAATTTTTCTTGTCATAATCGGAGGCAATGACCCCAGGAACTGGACATGATTTGCTTCTCTTCTGCTGGTAAGACGATTTATGCGAAGGTAGGGGAGGAGGGCAACTTCATTAACACTACAGCCTTATGTTCACGTCAGGATCTACAAGCAGAGGATTTATGTGAAGATCCGTAGAAGACTTGGAGATGTACAAGATCTGAGAAAATCCTGTAGAGTAGAGCAGTATAGCGATCTGCATGTCACCATCAAGCCTCTGCTTTCGGGCGCCGCTCTGCCAGTCTGTGCACAGCTTGGTACGATGATCCACCAGCGGCTACCGCTTCCTCTGCTTTCGTCTTGAGGTGTTGGGCATTCATTCTCAAGGTGTGATCTCGATTGAAGCGGTCTATTGCTATCAGAGAATCTTCCCCCTGCAACGGTCTGCCCAAGATTTGTGGCGCAATGTGTTGCTGAGTTGCATCTCCTCTCTTCTCCGAGATTATAACAGCCATACGGAGCACGTCCACGAAGTACGTGTGACAGATACCATTCCGACTGTCAGTTGCTCCAATTCTAACAAGACGTTCAGATCAGGCACACGGAAGAATATTCATAAAAATGCGTGAAAAGCATGATGTCCGAGCTTTCCAGAGCTTATGGAAAGTTTTTCTGACGATGCGATAAACAACTGATTTAGAACTCAGTCAAGATACTGTTTACAAACCTCGCGTTCAGATGCTGCTCAGCTGCCTGTGGCCAAGTCAACACTTGCACGCAAGAGGTGATAGTCTTTAGGAACGACAGGCAGCTGCAATGAGATACAAATCCACATAGAGACGGATGATGAAGCACCTTTAGTTGATCTATCCATCCGGTGACCATGGCTCCTCTGTCTACAACTCTGTCTTGGAAACCTTGTGGGAGCATTTCCTTGATGTCGGAATAGTTTCCACGTAGTCGAGGGAGAACCCACAGGAATCTCTGATTACTTGCCTCCAGTGCTTGAGCGAGCTCCTGAGCCTGCCTTGCATACACGGCAGCCCAGCTACCGATTCAGATGTACAGAACGGATGAGACGGGCTATGTGTGCGAGGCCGGACTTTTCAGCATGATTGGTGGTCCCAGTTAATGACTCCTGGTTCTCCGCATCGGAGCCTAGACAGAAAACAGGGCCGACGGTAAGTAGCTCAGGCGACTGCGAATTCGTTAATCGTACTCCAGTAGTGGAATTAGGAGCAATCGTTGGTGGCGTGACTGTGTAAAGTCCGGTCTCCATTGCTCTCTCAGATGCCTAAGGGACAGAGATCAAAGCTTTGTGGCCCAGGGTATCCATATTAGAACCGATTAGACGATAACTGTTTAGGTCCGTAGCAAATCATTATCTTCACCAGAAGTGTCCTGTCTCTTTGCTGGTGACTGAAGTTGCTCATCCCAGCCTCTGCGGAACCTTCAACTGAAGTTCACTTCCAACTCACTAAGAACTACATTCACTAAATGTTGGTGTTGCAAGGTGGACCCTCTCACGTTCAGCATCATGTGGGAACGACACAGTTACAATACCTTCAGATTCTCACCTCTTGACTTCATATAAGTGTTGATTGCATGCTCCAGTCCTGGAACTTTTTCAACCTCCTCGAAACGTTTAAGTTCATTGGCTACAATTGTTATGTTTCCTGTGGAGTGTAGCTCCTGCAGCCCTTGGATAAGTCATAAGAAGATGACACTGTTAGTGAAAATAAGCTACAGTGGAAGCTCTAGCTCATCTACAATGTCCTGAGACCAGAGTAAACGATCTCCCATGTGATGATGTCAGCAAGGAACTTTTTAAATGCACATGCTTAGCTAGAGCCGGATTGGGGCAGTGGTGGATGAAAGACAGAATTCATCTCGTCAAATCCTGCAGCTTTCAAGGTTTTCGCATATTAACTGCTCGGAATCAGAAACAATACCTCAATCTGGAATCGATGAAGCATGGAATCGAAAAATGAACCCAAAATCATACATTTGGAACCTGCACTTCTGGATTCTGCTGAAGAGAAATAGCTTACAACATAGTATCTGATGAGGCTGGCTAGCATCACATACATGAACCTTCATCCAGAACAGGTGCTCATCGGAGAGTATGCAGGTGTGGAGGCCGGAAAACGACCTGGGATTCATACGATCTCCCGACAGGGAATTGCTCTATCTTCGCAGGGTTCTCGACAGGCACCGCATGGAAGTTCTTGAGATTTTCAATTGATGGCTTCGATTGAATGTATACAATTGACTTTTTCTCGGCTACAAAGGTGATGATCACACCCACGGCATGGAGTCTGCGCATCCTCGTTGCCCGATCGTGGTCTGCCATGATTTCTGTTCTTGGAGAAACTCAGATGATTACAGATCCTCCTGATTGTACACTTCATACGTGAAGATCTGTATGACTCTGACGGCCCCGAATACGCGCAATACATTCAAACGCTTCCGTGCCAGTCGACGGACAAACGAGCAATAGTGTACGAACAGTGGCCGATTTCTACACATCATGTCACAGTTCTTTCATCCTCTGGATCGACTTCCATCAGAGTCATGTCAACGAACAACATTTCATGATTGTACTATGTTTTCATCATTCATATAGGTCAATATCTCAACTCTTTCTTTTATATATATAGTTGTAATTTTAGAAAATATCCCAAAGTTTGTCATTTGAATGAACTTCAATGTTATGGTGAAAGCCATGTTGACTGAAGTGAAGCTCACATGCAATGCAATGTAATATGATTTAAAGTGAAGTAGAATTCACTTTTCATTCAAAATTTTACTTTTTTCTTTGCATCTTTGTAGTACATAATCCTTATAAAATTGACAGTTGATTAAATATAAGAATCCAGGGTCAAAATTATTTTCATAGTTTGTAATTATATAGAAAAGTCAGCCTTTTTTGTTTGTTAAAGATGCAAAATAAGGAATCTATATTTCAGCGTAAGTTTTTTGGCCTGCCAAACATCTTCTAAAAGTAAGGATTTCATACTTTTCAGTTTTTTTTATTTACTTTTATTCGAATTAGTTAAAAAATTATGAGCTGAATTTCAAGACGAGAAAATTTATTCACCAACAAAGTAATCATTCTACAATTGGGAAAAAAATATGAATTGAAGAATGCAATCAAATAATTTATTGATTAGATATGATTTAAAGTATATTCTTGTTTTCACATAAGTGTCAGATATATCCATTCTTATAGAAATTTATTCTGAATTTTAAAAACATATTGCGAATTAAATAAATCAATAAAAGTCATTTGTCCTAACTAGCCATTACAAATGATATCATCCCAAAAAAACTTATTATATATATATATATATATATATATATATATATATCCAAGAAAGTCAAAATATATGCAAACTTGGCTTCTGTATGTATGATTCTTCAAATTTTTTATTTTATTTTTTTATTTTAATTTTCTACTAAACTCTGAAATAAATCTCAAGAAAGGATTGATTTGATTAAATGTGAATAATTACAGAAAAACTCAAATTTGTTACAATGTTTAATTTACTTAAATTTCACATCTTCATGTAACAATAATCGAAAATAAATGTAGCATGCATCAATTTATGATAATAAAATGATAAAATATGATTTTTAAATCATGTATAATTTTTGGAAGATAGTACAAGGCTATATATTATATGTCATATTAATTTAGTCAATATTTAAAAGAAAATTTTCATACAATTGCTTTACTTTATGTCATTGAAGTTTGAATAGACAGTACAAGATTTTATTTTATTAATTTCACTCATTAATTGATGCAATATTAACTTGATTTCAATGATTTTTCTGTATTTATAACTTCTTTATTCTATGTTTTTTTGAAAATAAAGATAACTTTAACAGCTTTAAACGATGCGTAAGAAAATTTAAATATTTTTGGAGATTAAAAAATTTTATTTGAAAAAAATTATTTGAAAAAAAAATTAAGTCATTATCAATAAATCAACTGATATAAGAAAATAAAAAAATGAAAATGATTTGAAAATAATGTCATTCTACATAGTTTGTTAATGGTTTTAAACTTTGCTCATTTACATCAAAACAACTTTTTAGTCATCACAAATGTGAAAATTTATGTATTTTATTTCTATTATAAACCAAAATCATAATTGGATTTTTTATATTATCTTTTAAAATTTTAGAAAGTATATCTTCAAAATTTTTCAAATAAAAACCTGAAATGTTGACTTTTTATTAGTAGTAATCCATATCCAATTTTACTATGGAAAATATATCTCCATATTTCATCTTTTCAAAGTGATTTCATTGTATATAACATCTAAGCACATTAAATTTTTATGAATATAATGTGAGTTTAACATTTTAAATAATTTTTTGATCATCATAGATCTTCATTAAATTTATAGAAACACAGCAATTTTTGAGCTATCATTATTAAATACAAAGAGAAATTGGTTCATTTTCTATCATAGAGTTGATGAGTATATCTAAATCTTGTTTCCTTAAATTGAAAGAATAAAATTATAAATACATTTATTCATCATTTCATTTTATATAAAGTTGAAACATTTTTGCATACTGCAGTTACATGTCTCAACTTCATCAATTTCCAAACATATGGAATTTTAATCAATAGCTCTTGTAATGTCAATTGATTCTAACACTCAAATATTTGGTATGAAATCAATACATTGATTTTTTATTAGATTATATAAACTTATATAGGTAATCTACAAATGTATTAATCTCATATCCTACCAGGTTTCAATCTCCGCATAGTAGTATGTTAGTGTTGGCTAAGAAGTTTTGGATCGTGTCTCTTGAATCTTCTTGTCTCCTGAAGAGAAAGATTTGCATACCAACTGTGTAAAAGTGTGCATCTATTTTTGCCTCGGTAACAAATTCCTCATCTCCTGATCTAGATTGTCAAATATTCAAACTCTTATGGATTGATATCGCAGTTACTTTGGTTCTTCTCCTCTTCCTCCATTTTATTCAGGTGCACATAGTGTGTGTAATTTTATATTTATCAAGTTTTCCACCTCTATTCTTGCAAAAGTTAAAGTCGGACCCTCAAGCCCATATTATCAATAAGAGATACATCAGAATGGAGGATGTCAATATGATCCACGTCTACGCCTGCAGTTAAGCCCGTCACATGCTAATCACAATACATAACCATCTGGATCTATGCTCGGTTTGCTCTCGTCTGTTGAACGATGCCTTCCAAACCCTCACTTGCAACTGCATGATCTGAGGAGCCGCCGCCTTTCAATCTATTTCCCTCGTCAGTCAGTTGTGAGAAGACGGATCGGCGGTTCACGTCACAAGACAAACTCGTTTGCTCAATGCATCATGCGTCAAAGCACCGTTAGCGTTCACTCCTTATTATTTCTTTCCTCTGCGGAGGAAAGGTGCCTGACATGTGAAAGGAACATTCCTGAACGGAGAGAATTGCCACTCAGCTGGATGGATGTGTCTCTCCATCCAGGATTGTCACTGTCACTCCCAATTCACAACAGCTGCCCGCGCCAAATTGCCCTTGCAATCCTGTCTCTTGCTAGACCCACTCAGAGCAGGGTAAGTTCGGCGAGAGGAAGTTGATTGCCGCTGACAGAACTCGTCGCCGTATAAGCGTAGCTTGGGAAATCAGGCCGCAAGACCATAAATACGAGAAGCTTACAGCCACTATGACATTCTCTCGGCATCTGATTCCTAGAACGGGTGTAATGAAGACTCATTCTATAATCTAAGCCAAACCAATCTTCCATCCTCCCCGCCTCACGAAAATTTGGAAGAAGTCCAGTTTTTAATATGTTATCCATAACGTTGTGGTTTGTGCCATGAAAGAGTATATAAAGACCCATTGTTTCAAGCAAACTTACAGCGCTGTCCGTAGGGTCGCTCGCTAGCTGTCGAGCTGCATCTGCAATCACAGCATCCGAATGAATACTTTGGACTTTTCATGTGCATCGCACATCGAACTGCCATAAATCGCCACATGATTACGCAGACATACGCTGACGAATACAACGATGCAGATATCAGACAAGGAGCTTTGTGGAACATGACGGAGTTTCTCGTCGCCATCTCTCCCTCACCGTAAAGCTCCTTAGCTGAGCGATCGTTCTCGAGAGAAGAAACAAAACTGTCAAAAGGTCCATGGCCTCGGCCTAAGTATGGATTTGGGCGTATGCTGCGCAACGGCACCCGCTTCAAGTCCAAAACTTTGCTTAGCAACTTCTCCTCGGTGATCCGGAGTATGGCCATCTACAAAATCTGCTCGGAAACGGGACGAGGGGTCACGTCCAGTTGGAAGCAACTGCTATCAGAGATGAACGCAGAAGATTAAGTAAGCTCAATGAAAGGCTTCAAATGAAATCTTCACGCGACGCACACGATTGCTGCAAGCGTTAAACAATGTATCTCACCTTCGTACGAGTAGGAAGCATCCCGCTGAAAGCTTCCGCGGCTTTGAGGCTTTCCGGACTCCCCGAAATTTCAATCACTATGTCTTCTTCTTCGTTCGACCACCGGTTTCGTTGCTTCATAGTCTGGAGGTTGACCACTCAACGACGAAGTACCACGGATTTTTATTTTTATTTTTCTAATAAACGAATTGTTTTTTCTGTAAGTACTGGGTACTTAACTTGATCCATAAATTTATAATTTCTCCTTAAATTAAAATTGATATGTATTCCTATAATTTATAAATTTTTTTAGATACTGTATAGAATTTTTGACTTTATTAAAAAGTATATACAAAATTATATATATAGATAAATATATATATATATATATATATAATTCAATATTTTTAAAATGCATCCAACAGGAATTGAACCTGTGAATTCGCCAATTATGAGACGCCGCACCTCGCGCGGCTGCATCGAGAATCAGATCCGTTGTCTTGCGATCATAAAGCTTGACAGAACCGTCCTTCCGCCTATGGTATACAGAAACGGACATAGTCAGCTCACTCGTCATTTTCTACAAAACTGTGCTCCAAGATCGCCTCCCGTCAAATCGATCGGGAAATCTGCTGGTCTTGCGCTTGAACACGCACTCACAATCCTCCTATTCAACTCACTCAAGATCTATTGTCAGGCTCTGAACAAGTTCCAATTATAAGGATCAAGTCGCAGGAGTGCGCACGCATTTCCGATCGCAACCTATCACGTTTAGAATCCAACTATTCTTGCAATTCGTGTACAGCTTGTAATGTCTTCCCATACTTTTGCTACATTTCTTGATGCCCAGCATTTTAGTGTAAGTATTCCAACGCACTTGATTGTCATGTTCTACACAATAGATTGAACTACTGTTATAGAATTTCCTTGTTTATAAATGACTTAAAAATATTTTTGGCTAAAGAACGTGACCGTCGGACCCTCAAACCTATATTATCAATAAGAGATACATCAGAATGGAGGATGTCAATATGATCCACGTCTACGCCTACTCTTCAGCCGTCACTTGTTAATCACAATACATCACCATCTCGATCTATGCTCGGTTTGCTCTCGTCTGTTGAACGATGCCTTCCAAACCCTCACTTGCAACTGCATGATCTGAGGAGCCGCCGCCTTTCAATCTCTTTCCCTCGTCAGTCAGTCGTGAGAAGAACAGTCAGTGAACGAACAAACTTTTGAGACCCAATCCAAGTGGAGTGTACATTCTATCGAAATCATTTATTATCAAGGAAGTTCTACAAAAGTATATCAATCTATTGTGTAGAACATGACAATCAAATGCCTTAGAATACTAGCAGTAAACTGCTGGGCATCAAGTAATAAAGCAAAGTTTTGGACTTGAAGCGGGTGCCGTCGCGCAGCGTACGCCCAAATCCATGCTTAGGCGGAGGCCATGGGCCTTCTGACAGTTTTGTTTCTTCTCTCGAGAACGACCGCTCAGCAAAGGAGATTTACGGAGAGGGAGAGATGGCGACGAGAAACTCCTTCATGTTGCACAAAGCTCCTTGTCTGCTATCTGCATCGTAGGTTCAATCAGCGTAGGTCTGCGTAGTCATGTGGCGATTTATGGCAGTTCGATGTGCATCTCACATGAAAAGTCCAAAGTATTCATTCGGATGCTGTGATTGCAGATGCAGCTCTACAGCTAGCGAGCGACCCTACGGACAACGCCCTAAGTTTGCTTGAAACAATTGGTATTTATATACTTTTTCATGGCACAAACCACAACATTATGTATAACATATTAAAAACTGGACTGATTCTAGAGTTTCGTGAGGGGGGAGGATGGAAGATTGGTTTGGCGTATACTACGAGTCTTGGATACACCCGTCTTAGGAATCAGATACCGACAGAATGTCGTAGTGGGTGGAAACTTCTCCTATAATGGTCTTGCGGCATGATTTCCTTTTTCGGTATTGTGTCAGTTGCAATAAACTTCCTCTCGCCGAACTTACCCTGCTCTGAGTTGGTCTAGCAAGAGAAAGGATTGCCAGGGCAATTTGGCGCGGGCAGCTGTTGTGAATTGGGAGTGACAGCTTTTGATAGAACGGGGTTCAACATGAAAAAGTGCTCATCGCTTATTCTTATTTCAATCTTTAAATTCCTTGCACGGGAATTTTACCTCAAAGTCGAGAGATTTCGTGAGAGTGAATGTTCAGGAAGGCAATGGAAGCCAGACCAGAGCAAGGGACATACGCCGCATCCGAAGATCTTGGAAGAATGTGGGATCCCTAAAAGTGAGATTCCAGTCCTAAGTTGCTCTTCAACCTCTATCGTGCCTGCAATCCTGGATGGAGAGACACATCCATCCAGCTGAGTGGCGTTCTCTCTGTTCAAGCACATGTTCCTTTCACATGTCCGGCACCTTTCCTCCGCAGAGGAAGGAAATCACAAGGAGTGTGTAGAGACTCGAGGTTCAGTCAGACCTACTAAGACAGATGATATTTCAGGTTTGGCCTTTGCCATATATACAAGACAGAAGGTAGAATCTAACCCTAACCCTAATCTCACTATAATCGCTAGCTAACATACTCATGAGAGCGTAGTGGGCGGCAGTGCCCGAAAATGACACTTCATAGTTTACCTGTGCTGATAGATCTACTTTCATTCCAGGTGTCACTGTGACCTATTGTTATCACCAACACCCTCCCTCGCTCCAGACATGCTTGTTTTGGGCGCTTTGGGTGATAATCAATTGCTATGTCTATTACTTACGATGAACCGATTGATGTATACTAAGATTTTTACTGATTTTTGGAAGTTTCTAATCTAGTCAGACCTAACTGTTCCTTGAGCCTTTTGAAAGCTATTTTGCCTAAAGGTTTGGTCAATATGTCTGCAAGCTGTTCGTTTGTTGAAACATAGGCTAGGTTAATTTCACCTGATGCAATTTTTTCTCTGATGAAATGGTGACGCACCTCAATGTGTTTGGTTCGTCCATGATAGATAGAATTTTGAGCGAGGTTCAAACTTCCTTGGTTATCGCCGTGAATGATGGTGGAAGCTTGAAGGTCTAGCGCGTGAATTTTGCGAAGGAGTCGTCGCAACCAGACAGCTTCCTTGGCTCCTTTAGTGACAGCCATGTATACGGATTCCGTGGAAGACAAAGCCACGGTGGGATGTTTCCTGCTGTTCTAGGTGATGGGAGTTCCTCTCAAAAAGAAAATGTAGCCAGTGGTGGACTTTCTGTCGTGCATGTCGGCCGCCCAGTCAGCATTTGTGAAGCCTTGAAGCTGTGTATCCTTCCCTTGCAGGTGTGTTTCTTCCCCTCGCTGTGTCTCCTCCCCTCGTCGGTAGAGTAGTGCAAGATCAGAGGTACCACGAAGGTAACGATAGATTCGCTTAACGGCTTGAGCATGAGGCTCTTGGGGGCTGTTCATAAATCTACTAACAATGCTAACAGCGAAGGCAATGTCGACTCGTGTGTGAGTGAGGAAGATCAGTTTCCCGACCATTCTTTGATACAGTGCAGAATTGGCTGGAAGAGCTTGCATATCAGGCAACAGACGCAATTTCTCCATCATGAGCGTGGGAGCAGGTTTGCATTTGTCCAATCCAAACTCGGTCAGCATCTCACAAATGTATTTTCGTTGAGTGACAGAGATACCGTCAGACCGAAACATGAACTCTATCCCAAGTGAGTACGAGAGGAGCCCTAAGTCAGACATCTCGAAAGCCTGTTGGATCTCACTCTTGATGAATGCTATATGAGCATGATTGTCACCGGTTAGATATACGTCATCAACGTACAGTAGTAGCAGAGTGATTTTACCTTGATCAAGATGAAAGTAAAGGTTGTAATCAGCTTGAGACTTTGTAAGTCCCTGGCTCAGCAGGTACGCATCCACCTTCGTGTACCAGGCTCGTGGTGCCTGCTTAAGGCCATAAAGAGCCTTGTATAACCTGCATGCATAGCCAGGCTTGATTGAAGCATCAAAACCGGGGGGCGGGCAGACGTAGATATCCTCTTCGATGATTCTGTTAAGAAACGCGGTTTTGACGTCTAGATGGAATATATTCCAGCCGTGGAATCTTGCGAGCGCCACGATACTTCGGAGAGTGTTCCATTTGACCACCGAAGCAAATGTTTATGTGTAATCCTGTCCAGGTTTTTGTTGAAAACCCTTGGCGACGAGTCTTGCCTTGAGTTTTGCAGTCGAGCCATCAGCGTTTGTTTTGAACCGATACACCCACTTTGTGCTGATGGCCTTGCGATCAGAAGGTAGAGGAACTAAATCCCATGTTCCATTCTTGTAAATTGAAGCTAGTTCGTCATCCATTGCACTCTTCCAGCCTGGATGCAAGAGAGCATCATCAATACTGATCAGGAGACTAACCTTTGGAGCGTGCTCAGTAAGGTGTATGTAGAAGTCTGCCAGTCGTGAAAAAGACTTACGAGTGCGACTGCTGCGAGTGGATGGTGGCATAGAGTCAGATGATGTAGTATCTGTGCGATCTAGAGTGATATGAGCACTAGGAACATTCTTGCGTCTCTAATAAGTATGCAGGGGCAGCATGGCGTGATGACTGCCATCTGGTTGTATGGGAATGTCGATGGAGAAGTCATTGATTGGAGCTTCAATAAATGATTGTGGATGCTGATGGTCGGAATCAGGTGAGCTCTCGTTATCATCTCGGACTATCAACTCACGTGCTCCCAAGGAAAGTTGAGGTTTAGCCATGCCGTTGCTTCGATTGACTGTGCATGATCTTGGGCTCATGGTTTCGGGGCATGGAACTGAGCCAGAAGGTGAAACTGGAACGTTCGTCGCAATGGGAGTGTGCTCCTCTTCTGGGAACACAACATGTTCAGTGACAAGCCATTCATCTCCTGCAGGTGACACCGTAAGGTTATCGGCCTTGGACACTAATGAGGAGAAAGGAAAGTGTTTTTCGTCAAACTAAATATCCTTAGACACAAGGATTTTTTGTGTCGATCGATTGTAACTCTTGAAGCCTCTTGAGGTATCATAATAACCCAAGAAGACACATTCATATGAGCGAGGAGCTCATTTCTTTCTGAGATGGAGAAGTTGAGTACGTAGCTACGACATCCAAAAGTTCTCAGATGGCTGATCGAAGGAGTGTGGCCAATGAACTTCTCGTAAGGGGTAGTGCCGTGATTTGCTAGCGGTTCTATTGATTACGTAGTTAGTAGTTGCTACTGCTTCGGGCCACAAATAAGAAGGAGTATTGCTAGCGAATGCCATACATCTGGCCTTTTCCAACAAACTTCTGTTCTTTCTTTCCGCTATTCCATTTTGATGTGGAGTATGAGCCTGAATAAGCTGTCTTACTATCTCCAAATCGCTGCAGAAATTGATGAATGCCTTGGAGGTTGTGGTAACACACTTTTTGTTTTTTTGCAGAATTTAAACAATTTTAGAAAACTAGTACCAAAGCAGTGTTTGTAGCTAGAGAAGGGTACGCTAAATAGAGTGGATTGATGAGATCGTCACGAGGACACAAAGAATCACGTAGTCGGATGTACCAACGCCAATGTCTTCGGCGCCTTCGGCAAAAGCTCCTTTTCTGAGGTGTCTCTACTCACGCGCCTCCAGCGTATAAGGAAGCTACGCTCCCGGCGCAGACACCTCAGGAGGAGGTTTTGCTAAAGACGTCAGGAGAAGGGCCCGGACCTCTAAAGGCGTCCGACCATGAGTGCGCCTTCGGCGAAGCGCCGCTAGCGCGGAAAGGGGAAACCTTCATAACAATCGGGATACACGGTAGATCCAGTTGGTTGAAGTTGCATTAGAAAGAGCTCGGGATGCTCGTTCTAACGAGCCCAAGAGCGTCGGAGATGGATCAGGAATGGAGAAGTTATGAGCGTCGGAAAACTCGTAGCCGGACATGCGCCGTTCGCGCTAGGGTTCACAGCCGGAAAGGATTCCCGTACGCCCTCGGCGATGCGCCTTCGGCGGAATCACGCGCTCATAGGAGGAAACCAACTCAGAGTCGGAAGCGCCTTTGGCGGCTGTTCATGGAAGGAAAGCGCCGGTCGGATGTACGCCTCCGACGTGGCGCTGACGGCCGGATGCGCTGGCATGAGTTGCGTTGGCGGATATGCGCCGGCGGCAACGGACGAGGCATAAAGGACAAAATAAGCGGTACGACTGCGCGCCGGCGTAATTCGCTCCGACTAGATGTGCGCTTCCAGCAAGGCGCCGACGTATAATGAACGCACCAGCGGCGACACGCCTCCGGTGAAGGACGGGTTAGGAAAAGACAACAGGGCCGACGTATACCCTGCAGCGGACTCGAGTCCGGAAGGTGGCGGCGGCGGGAGAATTCAACGTTTAAGCATGCGAATGCGCGCAGTGCGGAGACGTGAATTCGCGCATGCAAAGGGCGAACCGTTAAGCCGTATAGCCGGCTGCGTACATTGTAACCAGTAAGAACGTTGGACGTTCTTGAAATCGGAGAAGAAAAGACTGCGCTCCAGTCTCATTCTCTCATTCTTGACTTTGCGATTTCCAGTTTCCAAGATTACGCGCAAGGGCGGAGCGACCTGCAGTGAGAGTAGAGAGTGCGGAGACGAGTTGCGCAAGGATCTTGGAAGACCTTGGAGAGAATTGCGAGTAGCGATCTTGAACGAGCGCAGAGAGAGTGAGCAGTCAGTGCTTGAGTGGCCGACGCGCAGTGGCGATTGTGAGAGAGCGAGCGAAAGGGAGAACGTTTGTGTGTGTGCAGGCAACGCAATGTCGAAGGTTCCCCAGCTGCGAGTGTCTCCACTCAGGGTGCCGCAGATCGGTCTACGCGCATTTCAAGATGTGCTGTTGAGGCTGAAGCTCGATTTTCTCCTATGGGGGTGGAACTGGACATGTCCGGAGATGGTGCGCGAGTATCTGCAGGAGAGACACAAGCCCTCTCGCGGATTCCGCCCGCACCCAGAGAGATGGGACATTTGCAATTGGGCGCAGGTGTTGGGCAGGTGTGCCGGCGAGGAAGGGGATCTCCTCTTCGAGGCAGATAGCGTGAAGGTGTCCCAGGAGGAAGAAGTCTCTTACAATGAGCTCTTCAAAGTTGCCAGACATCCCAAGAACGGTTTCCGGACACGGGATTACAAGGATCGATTGCGGAGAAATGTCGCGACGGCATTGCTGCAGATATTGCAGCCGACCAAGACCGCTTACATGCATGGTTGGCAGGTAGAGTTTGTGGAGCTAGTGTTGTCAGGAGCTCCGGTGCATTGGGCACGGCTCCTGTGGAAGGTGACGCGCCAACATGCGCAAGAAGAGAAGGGAGGAACCCTCAATCATCTATCGCCTTACTTAATCGTGTTTTACCGGGCGATGGGATGTTTGACAAATGCTGAGAAAACACGGTTTCCACAGCTGACCCGGACTTATCCAGGTAGATATTCAAGGGAGGCCGAAGTAGACACGGATCCGGACGAGGAACCTGCCAGTACGCCTCCGGCTCCGGCTCCAGCAAGAGCAGCAGAAGAACGTCGAAGTGAGCGCATTCCGCGAAAGCGGAAGTGGGATGAGAGACCTGAGGACAGGCAGCCGGAAGTGCCAGCTGCGCCGACTCGTGGTCGGCCCACCCCCGAGCCTCACAGTCGACCAAAACAGAGGGCACGCAAAATGCCAACTGGTACTGAGGAGACCGGGCGAACTCCGACCCGGCGGAATCTCACACACGAAGAGATAATCGCTCAGATTCTAGGGAAGACGGTAGATACCTCTGCACAGAAGGCACCACGGCCTTCGGGAGGAGATGGACGGACTGACAGTCGGCCGACTGCGAGTCGGATGACTGAAGGCCGACAAGCGGAAGGAAGGCCAACTGAACGGTGCGTTGAACCGGACAGCAGGCCGGAAGCAGAAGAGAGTTTGGCTGACGAGCCAACAATCCTCAGAGGGTCGTCTTCGGCGGAAGGCACTTCTGGAAGAACGCCACCAGCAAGCAGGCCAAGTGGAGTCAAGACGCGCAGGGTGTATCCGACTCCCAGTCGGACAACTTGTAATAACCCACTAAAGGCTAAAACTGCAATATAGTGGTAGAAAGGTCGAACCCACAGGGACAGAGGAACACACAGGGTACAAAGTGTCACGTTTAACAGACTATTGATGAGTTTGAATTCTCAGGCGACTGTCACTCCCAGAAATACTGCAAGTGTCCACTCGGAGCGCACTCGGAGGTCGCACAGTGCAGCGTACACACACACACACACACACCTGAAACTACAGAAACACAACCTAGAGATCCGTTAGAACCTCTACTTCAAGATTTCAGGGGGAAAGTCTCTCAAGAGTACACTCGGCAAAGCTGCGGGCAGTGACTTCCAACTCCGGCTTTTACAACACTTCCACTAGCTTGCTGCTAGTGTAGGAAACCCGGTTTGGACTGCCTACTTCGGATCGAAGTCACTCCTACGCGGTGAACAACACTCTCAACTCACAAAACGCGCAGAGAACACAGGTCCGCACTGAAGGACTCACTGTGAAACATTCCAGTAACACAACGACAGTCTATTGAAGAGTTTGAATTCTCAGGCACTTGTCATTCCCAAATATACTACAGGGGTTACCCTCAAGGCACCTGCTGCAGCGTAACCTGAATTTACAACCAAGGCTTACACGAAGTAGCAAAACTTCACTTTGGCATTCAGGGGAAAAATCCCAAAGGAGTACAATCAGAAAGAAACACTCGAAGGTGTAGGGGCGAAACTATTCAAGTATCTAACTAGTCACTGGCTCTGAGCATCGGCAGTCACCCGCGGGTGCAGATCCGAACTACTCAAGTCTCTAACCAATGTACTAGCTCTGAACATTCGGCCGAAGGCCTTCAGCTACAAAATGCGGAACGCTAAGTTGTAACTCCTCCTGCGTGGTGACAGAACTCAAGGACACAAAC